TTTCATCGTATTACAAAGAGGATAATAAAAAAACATAGCACTTTTTTATTTTACCGCGCATAAATGCTCAAATAGTTTTCCTTTTAGATATTTAGATCTATCTTTTTTGTTGGGACTACATTTACTTGCGTATACACTTTTCGTAGTGCAACGGTTTTGACGTTGGGTGACTGGCAGTAACCCTTCACATAAGCTTTTATCCTCGTGCTCCATTAGATGTTTGATAGAAAAACAATTCACCCGTTTACGGAGGAAATATGAAAAATTTCCGGAAACAATACCCAAAAATCAATTATTGCTAGATGATATATATAGTAAATTGTTAAACAAATAAGTATCATTGATATATACTTGTTAATTTCATTGCTGATAATTTTATAAATTAGCTGTTAAATTAAAACTAATGTTAATTTAATATAATGATGCTTACCAGAAACAACCCTGGATTTCTGGTATTAACAAACAGGGACTCTTTACTGGAATGCTGGACTAGTGAAGTACATTGTTAACAGCAGAAAGTGCAATTAGTTGTTGTTGAATAAACCAAAAAAAGATTTAAAACTTGACACCTGTCTATTATTAAGATATCTTCTTGTTAACTTCTGCTTTGAGTAACTGTCTCATTATCAAATGCATATTACCCCCATCGTCTCCTTTTATTTTCAAACTGCAATTGAATTCACATTTTATAGCATCATTCATACAAAATATAGACTCAGATAATATTAGTATTAGATTACAAAATACACCCAAATTGGCTTCATTTGTCGTTTGTTGCTGTATATCATTTTTTTTTTTCGTTCATTATTTTGTACATAGATCAGGCCGTTAGTTTTCTCATTTGAATTGTTTTACATTTGTCATTTCGGTGCCTTTTATAGCTGACTACGCGGTATGGATTTTACTCATTGATGAATGCCATACGGTGATCTATAGTTGTTAATTTCTGTGTCATTTTGGTCTCTTGTGGAGAGTTGTTACATTGGCAATCATACATCTACTTATTTTTATATTCATGATATATTGTTAAAAAAATGCATCTTGTTTTTCTTGGGATATTAATGTTAGTTTGAAGCAAGAATAAATATTTTCTTTTTTTAATGCATTATACAGATCATTATCATGGCTGTTTCACTTTTACAACATTGACAATGATTGAAGTGTGAATTCTGCTCTTTTAAGTACTGAGCCACAAATATTAAAGTGAAGGACAATGATTTCATGAAAGCATGTTATTAACTTGCTTTCAGAAACTGCAAGCATTCTTTAATGAATATGATTACTTTTATACTGGAACTGCTGTGCTTTTCTTTCTTTTGGGTACCACCAGAATTTTCTGAGTAAATATTATAATACAATGAATGCCAAAAACTTCTACTAACATGCTGAACTAGGTACATGTAGATACATGTATGCCATAGTGACAGTTAAATGTCCCCTGCCACTGTAGGTGTGAATGAGAAATACAATTGTATGTACAGTATGGAGTTGTATAATAGGAACACAGATTACATTTTAAAATGTATTTCATGCTTTTTAATTACAATAGGCCTAACATGGTGTCACGGTAGTATTGAAAAAAAATCCCATACACTGGTTAACTAAAAAAATGCATACCTTCCAACTTTTCAAACTCTCCATGGGAGATTTTAAGCACAAGATGACCTAATGCATACCTCTACATGTCAATAGTGTACTTTATTAGAACATTTATGGTTTTAAATGAGAAGACATGTGTTTAAAGTATGTTTTACTCCTCCTTTTTTAAAGTATTTAGTCTAAATAATTGTGTTTCATTACTCCCTTAAAAAATATATAATTAAACTGACAGTAAAGTTTGGCCAAGAAAATATGACTGAAGACAAGAAACTGACCAAGTATGAAAGTGACAGGGGATTAAAAAAATGTGTCCATAGGAAAACCATGGCTAACTCACACTATAATGACATTTCAAAGTTCAGTAAACAGTGAAATCTGGATCAAACAGTATTTTTGGCACATTTATTTAACATTCCACTTCATAATGAATATGTGTACATGTACCAAGTTTCATGTTGGCGTGACCTGGAACTAACTTTAACCACAACTTCAATCTGATATAATGGGACAGACGGACGCACAGACCGAAAACATAATGCTCCTCTACTATTGTAGGTGGGACATATCAATTAATTTCAGTAGGTACCGGTAGGGAAATATTTCGTTTTTCATAGTTTTTTTTTAACAAAAAAAGTCTGATTTTACTGGTGCAGGATGTTAATATGATGTGTTTCAAGGTACGTGCGTGACACTTGTGTGGCATTTTTGCCCAGTTTATATTTGTGAAAGCAAACAAGCAATATACAATACATTAAATAACTATGAACATGATGCTAATCAGAATAGAAATAAGCATGGACAGCATAAACAAAAAATAAGTCACACGTGATACTGTAGGAGAGTTCGCATCTTCTATACAAAATATATGACAATATAGAAACTGCTACCCTCTAATAATAATCCTGCTGAAAGTATTCGGTAAACATGGATCTCATATAAAGCAATGGATATAAAAACAAAACATCACAGATAAAGGATGGACCAGGATAAACCAGTACTCCCGCCTTTTATTTACTCCTTCCCTACTATTGAGCTGGAAGATTATCATGAACTTTTTAATAAGAAGTACTTGCTGATATATTTCAAATTCATTTTAATGAACCTCTGATCCTTTTTTGGGACTTTATATGGAGGACATCAAAACAGGTGTCATACAAAAATTAGAATTTTTTAATGTGAAAAATGATGTCTCCATAAGGAGAATGCAGCTATAAAATGAGGTATTACAATTTAGATATATGTAACAAGAATTTTTGGTTCAATATGGGCCCCCAAAATGAGACCTTTTGAGAAGTCTGCATTATCAAATTCTTTTACTTTGTGGGAGTCATAAATATCAGCATTCAAAGAGATCATGTAAACTTTTGTCATAACTTCATATAGTCCACTCATAGTCTGTTAAAAATGACAATTTGAAATCTTTCTTGCAAGGCCAGTATATTACGACAAGTATTACACGATGGAGAGATAAGTTACTGTTTATATTTCCTTTATTCACAAAAGGATCTTCTTCCATTTTCTGGAGGATTTGTCAACACATGATTATTGACATCCATTGCACCACAAAACACTCATTTTCAATGGCAATTATACATGTGTATATATTTACCATGTTCATGCTTAAATATGTTCAACATTTTGTGGTCAGGTTATTTTTTTTTCAAATATCATAGGAAGGATTATTCGTCATAGAAATCGATGTGCAGCAAACATATACAATTAACAAATTCAAGGTAATTTAAGGATAACTCTTTATATCATTATCCCGTGCATTTTTTCCTTATTGTCCATTAATCTAAACTGATTGTTGGAAATATAGTATCTTACTTTTGAAAGTAGTAATATATTTTTATTGTATTTATGTTCTATAAATTTCATACAAATAACAATTAAGTAAACAGAAATTCTACCTTTTATTTCTCTAATAGTGGTACATCACCGTACTGGATAATAGATGCTGATAAGTCCAGATATTTTTTGCCGGTTTAGACACAGTGATGTACGATACATCAAATGCATTGTTTGCCTGATTTATAATGTGATGTATCACACTCACATACTTATTCGCAGTCAATATACCCAACAGGGATAGAACGTGTATTAAAATATCACTTAAATTAAAATAAATGTGTTTTTGTATTTATTCCTTCCACACAGACAAACGAATATCCGTCAGCAAGGGTAGTCGCAAGAACCTGTGTGGATCCAGACAGTCTGACATACTCCAAAAATAAACATTTAATTTAAAATCATTAGTTTTCGTTTAAAAAGCTATATCTTTATTTTCCCCGAACATCCAACCGATCTTTGTTTGGCAAAAGTAATTGTAATTGGTCATTTTATAGCTTAAGTTAGTTTGCGAGGAACTACTTGTGATAGATCAATGATATTTTTATATTTTGTATGAAGTTGCTACCAATACATATCAGTTTGATGACTATTTTGAGGCCCTGCCCCCTATGTCATGGTCCAGTGACTTTCAATAAGGTAACAGTTTTCAATGTTAAGTTTTCTGCTTAAGTTAGTTTGATAGAAACTACTCACAATAGACAATGATATTTTCTAAAAAGTTACATTGCTGTCTGTACATCTATGTTTGTCGACCATTTCGAGGCCTTGTCCACTAGTTCAAAGTCCAGTGACATTCAATAAATTAGCAATGTTGCTGTCCATCAGATTGTCTTTTTCTGAATTTTATGCCGACAGGCGAGACATATATCTGTGTCAATAGTTTTTTTTTTTTGGTGAAATATGTAAATGAGGGACAACAGTAGTTAACTGCTGTTTAAATCTCTTACAACGATTCAGAAGATACAAGTCAAGGTATTAATTTACACTTTTCAACAATGCATTTCAGTAATTACTGCTGTTTTGCACTGCACACTTTGCAAAAAACTGTACACCAAACATCATACATATTAAAATAACACGAACACGAGAAAGGCTTCAATACAACAAGACCATAAGCGGTAGGCCTTGGTAACCCCAAATTTCCCTTATCTTTACACCATTGAAAGGGTAGGGGTCCATGCATCATCTGCCAAAGTTTTGTTTAAATTCCCCGTTGCATTTTATGTTCGTTGTATATTGAATATAACCAGTTTTGCGGTAATCTTAACAACGTTCGAAAACTCTAGTAGGCATATATTATTGTGTGTTTTTGCATATGTTCTCATTAGGAATACTAATGAATGTAAAAATGTGTAGTCGAAAAAAGTTAAAGTAAATCTGAAATGTCATGGGAATATTTGTAGCCTGAATGTATATAAACATGTTAAAATCATTGATTAAGTCTAAAATTCTGGCCAGCCCAGAAAACACATATTTTTCAAACTTTGCCGGAATAAAATATAAGTTGAATTCTGAAAAACAAATGCTGAAACAATCGTTATTAATAAACCTTGAAAATCAAAAACCTTTATTGCATTTGATCGTTAAGAATTTACAAAATCTCCATTTAATTTGGCGTACAGACATAAAAAAAAATTTGGGACAAAATTCCTTTTTTTCTACAAAACTTTCTACAGTCTTCCTTTGCGTTTATTGTGTGAAAATCGTGTGGCCCCAATAATAACCGTTGTCAAGCTAGTAAGGAAAAACAGTAAAATTCAGTTCGATTACCCTTTGGACGAATTGACATATCAACATTATAATACGTAACTTTAGTTTCCCTTCCCAAGACTACAAATACCACTGGCGTAGAGTCAGTAGACGCTAAATTCAATGTTCTGACAGTCTGTCACTACTAACGTACTATCTTTTTGCTAATGAAGTGTATCTATAATCATTAGCTTGTACTAGGATGATTCACATCATATCTTCTAGAATATTGCCGTTTGTATTTGAAAACCAAAAACATTTAGCCTACTGCTCACCACTCAAACATAACTTCATAAATTTTTTCAAAGCCTTCAAAGATTTTATTTAAAAGATATCAAGATTCCTTCCCAAAATTCCTCAGTACATATTTTTAAGCATTTTATGTATGATGATGATAATTATGTTAATTTTCTACCTTTTCAGCTTTTGAATTTTGAATCTTTAAAAAAATGTAATTTCTGATTGTCTAATTTCCCAGATGCAGCTACATCATTCTCATAACCAAATTTAAACAACATAAATGTGTTATCACTGTTTAAGTAACTAGTAGGTGGAAACGCATCCAATACATTTGTAGGAGTTGTATCCCATACCCCAGGTCTACCCCCTAAAATAATCCTTAAACGTATGCACATAAAATATTAATAAAAAAGGACGATGAAAATCAAAATGAAAATCTCAAAATAATAACTAAGCATCAACGTTAGCCATGTGATTGTTTTTGTAAGCAATGCCGCTGATATTCTTAGGATCATCCTTTGATTTGCTTTCCACAACTAAACTTTTTTCTGTTTGGTTCTTAGCATCTTCTGATTCTATTAGGGATATGGAAATTTTCAGTGACTCGGAGATTTGTTCTGCATCATGATCATTGTTTCCTGTATTGAAGTCAGACATGCTTTGTCCGTGGCTTGTGAGTTTATGTACAGCTTCATCTATCGGACTATTATTATGAATATCAACAAAAGGTATTATTGGTTGATACGGATGAACAAGAACGTTGGCCTTATCAGCAGAACATATGCTGGACTCTGAATTGCCTGAAGATAGTTTCTCAGACTTGTGTGTTGTATCATCCGATAATGTGCGATAACCATGGAGATCAACTTCTATCATAGGCTGATATGGATTAAGATATCCTTCACTGAAAGGATCGATAACATCACCCTCGGAATGCGAACTACTGCTTCCATCTTGATCAACAACAGAATGCGTAGTCCTTGTTTGAATGACACGTCCACTTCTTGTAGCGCTGTGTATTAACGTCTCATCGCCAATCATATTATCTTCATCAATTAAATCATAGACACTTTCATTGTTCCGGCGATATTGAACATCGGACCGTTCGGGTGATGTTTGATCATGGTTTGTTCTTGGTCTCGATTTGTATAAATGTTCAGCTTTCCTTTTGTATTTGAAACAGCATGACCCTAGAGCCACCATCACTGCAATGCTTCCCGCACTTATTGAATAAATGATTATTTCTCTCTCTAATAGAAACCCACCTAAAAATAAAATAGGATCAAGCAGTAAGAAGAATTGAAGTGATGATACCACATCTCCTCATTTAAATGAATTGAAATCAATCAATGATCAAAGTGTTTCAAAGGAATATAGCATGTTCTATTAATGTTTCAATAGTTATTTATAAACTACAATATTGTTAAAGAAAAGAGAGTAAAATTTTTAAATAATAAAATTCCGAACTCCAAGGAAAATTCAAATCGGAAAGTCCCAAATCTAATGGATCAATCAAAAGCTGGAAAACAACTGTCATATTCTTGACTTGGTACCTAAGATACCTAAGGGACATTCAAACTCATTAGCCAAAAATAAACTGACAATGCCATGGCAAAAAAAGACAAACAATAGTACACAAAACACAACATAGAAAACTAAAGACTGAGGAATGAGAACCCCATCAAAAAACCGAAGTTGATCTCAGGTGCTCCTGAATGGTAAGCAGATCCTGCTCCACATGTGACATCTGTTTATGAAATGAATTATACTTTAAAATACAAAGAATCACTGCATTGGCAATTAATTATTTTACTGTTGGTTATCAAAACGTTCAGAGGCAAACATCTCATGAATATCCTGGACGACAACGAATAACTTATTACCTGACATAATAGTTAGGATTTGCACAGATGATCGACCAGATGAATCACAAAAAGTAGTAATAAAAATATGAAAATGAGGGCATATTTGATTGGACTTGAACCCTTGCCTTGCATCAGGCCAACAATGTGTCAATTGTAGTGTTTTATTGTGGGTTGATTTAAGCGAAGACAGCGTGTTAATCTCCGAAAACAATGTATCCGTTTTACAACCGTAATTCTAATCGCTACGTTTTAATTTTATTATGTGCAAACATAAAAGAACAACGCCAAAACAAAGCTAAAATTCAAACATTAAATTTCAAAAATTTAAAACAATGTCTGAAAACATTCAACAATCTGAGATAGGAAAATAAATATGAAATAATATAATCGGAATATATATATAAAGATCATACCACACATACAACTTTATAAATGAAATGGTATAGCACTGAGACAACCCTCTGCATCTGGAAAATTTTTAAGGCATGGCATGACCTAGATATATCAAATTCAAATACAATTTATGTTTCAGAAAATTAAAAAACTTAAATGGATTTTCGCCTGAGGGTCTAGATGAACCTTGATACTTAAATTTACAATAATATACTACACATGTATATGTTTTCGTTTTTAAACTTTAGCCTAAATCATCAGTCGTTGGTTTTGAAGACCGATATCATTTGAGGGATAACCGATAGAAGTAAAGGAATTTCGAGATAGTGGAATGTCAAGTTACCATCACTATCAGCTGTTGGAATACTACTCGCTGTTGTTGTAGCATATGTTGATTCCTTTGGTTGTGTACTTTTCCACGTTTCTGAAACATACATTCGCACGAATGAAATCTGAAGAATTCCAGATTGAATACTATTTTGTGTGTTTATTGTGTGTCAAATATTGTAAAGGAATTTGCAGTTTTGGTGCTGTATTTGAGAAAATGACTTGATATAGATGTGACTATTAATCGGAAGGACATATCATTTATGTACTTGTCACATCAACAAAACTAAGAACATATCCAAACACTGAATTTTTTTTAACTTAATACCACAAAACATTGATTTTTATATACATGGTCTTATTCTATGTATCTTCTTTTTTATCAGTTCAATGAAAATACAAAAGTTAGTAGTAGCAGTGTTGCCTTTGATACTCTTTTTAGGAGATACAAGTATTCCATTTGATTTGGCTGCCTCAATTGGCGAGTTGACGGTTGCTGATTAAGTTCCTAGTGCTACAAAAGTGAAGCAAGTAAACACATTATTAACTGATACAAGCAAATTTCTAACACCATACTGGTATCTCAATCTGAATGCAACTTCAAGAAAACACAATTAAACCATACATTTAATATCATTTACATGGTGTGCTCAAATTAAGATCATCAACCGCAGAATTAATGCCCTGCTATTTGAAGCGTTATCCAATCGAAATTCTCGTTACCTGGGCGAAAAGATGCATCGTATTAGGTTGTTATCTTTTTAGCGTATACCATATAGTATTGTCATTACTGTATTTGCAAAAAAACATCAAAAACGCAAATATCAACTTGCCGAAAGGTAGCCGTATTTGCTTGACTCCGGCTGTAATTTCATAGTAAACAGACAATATTCTTTTAACTTTTCAGACCTATCTACTCTGGTAAATTCAGCACTGTTCATACAATTCGATTGCAGTCAATTCAGTTCCATATAGTAGCTTTTCAGACAATTCATTTGGATGTTGATGCGGAGAGGTAAATAACAACTAATCTACTGAACAGTCGAAACATAGACTGGACTTATCTTAACTGACTGAAGCGAGTTGTCTGAATTTACCGCGGTGTATAAGTCTCCATTTTTTATTCTGTTCGAGAAGTTTTTGTGTAAGGAACAGACCGCTGTTAATGAATTCCGTATAGTGTGACAATGAATGAGCGATACAATATTAATGCTGAGAAATGGGAAGTTAACATTTGGAAAGTTGAAATCATTACGTTTGTCATAAATTCTGGTTTGAAGTCGTCCATATGTGTCATTATCGCGGATATGATCAAGATATGAAGTAGACTTTCGTGAGTGTCCTTAATCTCAAGTTCACTGGGCTTTATAATTATGAGATGTAAGCACTCATTGAAATAATAAACAATAGTTTGTATAAATGTATCACCGGAAATTTTAAATGCTTATACTTTTATTTTGTTTATTCGATTCGAAGTGAGCTGCATATCATGGTACGACTATTAGAAACACAATGATATCTTCTTCCTTCCTTGAACCAGAAGTTCATGGTCAATCATTTTACACGAGAGAAGCGACAACTAAATATCAAATATTTCCTTAATCTAATCGTCTAACAATTTGCCGTATTTATTATTATTATTATTATTATTATTATTATTATTATTATTATTATTATTATTATTATGATTATTATTATAATCATCTTCTTGTCGAAACCTCAACCAGGTGATATCTTTTCCGTTTTAACCACTTGAGGAATGTTTTCTAACATCTGTACTGGTGTACTGTCGTAATTTTAATGGGAGGTGTCCGTTGTTATTCTGTGGTTTACATGTTGTAATGTACTATTATTTTATTTATTTATGTATTTCTCTGTCCTGAGTGTTCTTGCGTTTATTTGTACTGTATTTCTGTCACATAATGTTGTCATTTTAGCGGTAGTTTTAACATTGCCATATTAGCGGGAAGTTTGGCTAGCCATAAAACCAGGTTCAATCCACCATTTTTTTCCTAAAATGTCCTGTACTAAGTCAGGAATATGGCAGTTGTTATCGAATAGTCCGTTTATATGTATGTTGGCGTTTATGTTTGTAACAGTTCGGTGTTTCTGATGTTGCGTTGTTTTCCTCTTATAGTTGATGTGTTTCCCTTGGTTTTGGTTTGTGACCCGGATTTGTTTTCGCTTAATCGATTTATGACTATTGAACAGCGGTATACTACTGTTGCCTTTATTTACCTTACCTGACATAAAAGTCGTAACATCAAGACAGCCATACACTATATCACATCTGTAATAGTTATAGATACAATGAGATGTAAGGGGTATATCAATGAATCAGCTACCACATAGCAAAAATAAACAAGATAGAGAAAATGCATTTTTCGCGTTTAGAGCCATCATAAGGCATGTTTAATAAGATACATAATGTCGATTAGAAATAACAAATACAAACAAAACCATGCACATCTCATTTTGGTGTGCGAATGTCGTATGTATGACCGGACTGGGAGAGAAAAATCGATGTATTCAGCAAAGGATATTCAAAGGAAAGTATGTGTTGCCTTCAACGGACATGTGAAATAAAGTTATGCTTATTTGTTTGTAGGATGGGTTTTTTCTGCAAATAAACCTATGAGCACCAACTATGCTCTTCTCGTTGTAGATTCGTTTTTTTATTTATTCATATGAAACAGAATTCATACACGAGTCTGTCAAGAAGAATGAAAAGAGGCTAGCGTTATTGTTAAAAAAGAAGACAGCAGATACCAGGAAGAAACGGCGGAAGACACAAGGCCTAAGGGATCATTCAAAACACGAAGAGAAACTGATAATGCAATGACAAAAAACGAAAGAAGACAAAACAAAACAAAACCAAAACAAATCAATAAGACACTACAAAGGAACTAAAGACTGAGCAACACGAACACCAACAAACATTTGGGGTGATCTCAAATCCTCCGGTAGGGTAAGAAGATCCAGCTCCACAAATGGCATCCGTCATGTTAGCCAAGGTAAGTATATATTCGGAAATAAGTGTCATTTGGTAATGTCACAATCGAGAGAAAGAGGACGGGTCTTATGTAAAGACAATTTGAACAATGTGATCATCTGCGACACAGATAGATCATAGCGGTCAACCAACTCGCGCTTGCGTCTAAATATTTCGAAGGGTTGACTTCAATTTTACCACTTAGAACCCTTGGTTCAATGGCTGCCTACTAATTAGCAATCCTTTATCAAGGCAGTTTTTCATACGCAAGCTCGTGTATATTGTATCAGCTGGAAGATATAGTTTATCATATGCAGGCCCTTACACATACAGTTAAGTTTTGCACCATATCTTGACTAACATCTAGAAATTTACAATGAGGGTAGGTTGAGAACAATACATTACGACAAAATAAATTTTATCAGCTTTCCCAATTTAAACTTTCCATATCTATATAGTAATATTCTAGCAGCGCCCTTATACGGAAAATAATACTCTCAATTGAAGAGCTCAAACATTGCGTTTCCTTTCATGATTTCCTTGAAAGAAGATTGCGCTTACGAGTTAGCTATTGTTCAAAATGGTAAAGTTCAAGTCGTCCCTTCAAAAGTTTTACCTACGCAATCATGAGCTGATTGAATGTTACGGAGTATCTGTGTCACAAATGACCACATATATGTTTGAATTATATTAGCCACATTCCCGTCCTTTTTTCACTGTGAAATATACGAATTTATACTAACCATGAGCAACATGACGGGTGCAACATGTGGAGCAAGATCTGCGTACCCTTCCAGAGCACCTGCGATTACCATCGGTTTTGATTTTGTTTGATTTTTTCTTTAGTTTTCTTTACAGTATTTTGAAGACCTGTTTGTCTTTTCATCGTTTTTTTTTTTGTTGTTGTCGGTTTCTTTTCGACTTGTACATTTTGATTGTTCCTTTTGTATCTTCTGTACCTTTGTGTCCCTCTAGTTATAAGTTTGAATATCCCTTTGATATCTTTCGCCTCTCTTTCATCTTTCAAGTTGGTGTGCAGAAGCAATATTATTGTATTCAATTTGATGCTTTTTCTGAACAATGAGCCATGATTCTAATAAATCAATATTGTTTTAAAAAGTAAAATCACAAAAATACTGAACTCCGAGGAAAATTCAAAAACGAAAGTCCCTAATCAAATGGCAAAAATCAAAAGCTCAAACACATCAAACGATGGATAACAATTGTCATATTTCTGACTTGGTACAGGCATTTTCTTATGTAGAAAATGGTGAATTAAACCTGGTTTTAAAGCTAGCTAAACCTCTCACTTGTATGACAGTCGCATCAAATTCCATTATATTAACAACGATGTATGAACATAACAGACAAAATAGGTAAAAATATCACAAATAGGGGTACAACAGCAACACGAACCCCACCAAAATTGGGGTGATCTCACGTGCTCCGAAAGGGTAAGCAGATCCTGCTCCACATGTGGCACCCTCGTGTTGCTCATATTAATACAAAGCCGGTAAATAGTAGTCATATTCCTGACTTGATACAGGCATTTTCTTGTGTAGAAAATGATGGATTGAACCTGGTTTTATAGCTAGCTAAACCTCTCACTTGTATGACAGTCGCATCAAATTCCATTATATACACAACGATGCGTGAACCAAACAAACAGACACAATAGGTAAAAATGTCAAAAATAGGGGTACAGCAGTCAACATTGTGTTGTCATCTTAATCACTATAAAAAACAAACACATGTAACAAAGAAGCACAAAATGTCATGTTGGAACAGAATCAAACCAAAAGTAAACAAATCTGTAATTTTTAACTGATAGGGTGTTACTTAAGTTTTGAAAATTTTTAAAACGGTATATATCTAACTTAACCTAAAATGAACTTTGCAGCTTTGAGGGAAATGTATAATAATAAGCGCCAATCGTCATCTGTAATTTTACTTTAATCAATTTTATACCTCTCGTTGTGTTGACATTTACATACACCTCTGCATTTTCTTCCCCATCTTCTTCCATGTGAACATGGTTTGCATGGAAATCCGTCTTTTGAAACATACCCAATTTCACACTCTATATAAAATGTAACTTTTGGCATTATATGATAAAACTAGAAACACCAAATAATTGATCGGGAGGTATCCATTATTTATAATTAAACATCAGTGAATAGATATAAATAGCAGAAAGCAACATTTTGAATGATATATAGTAAAAGAGAGTGCTTAAAATTTCATCTAAAATCGAAACGATGTTTCTTCTAAAATTTCAGAAGACTGTGTCGAAATAAAACAAATATAAAGAAGTTTCAACGGCTAAATGAATGTAAATCAAGGAAAAAGCTTCGGACGCACACAATTATTAGGTTTTATTTTCATATTCTGTAGATAATTAAATATTCAGAATATTAAACATTACCTCAACTGAGAATTTTCGAGATTTTTTAACCAAGTTAGTCGAGGCTTTTAAATATAAATTAAAGTCTTTCACATTTTTTTGATAATATGCAATAATGTCATTACTGAGTTCGGGGTTGTTTTTTTTTTCTTTTTTTTTTCGATTGCCCGTTTATTTCTTCTTCCCAAAATTGTTTGCATTTAGAAAGTTTATTTAACAATTTTCACGGTTTAAATCAGCGAGCGGTTAATCAGGGCATTAAGGTGTGTAGTTATACATTTGCGTTTTTCCAAGGATGCAGATATTGGATTTTTATGAGTATTTGCTTGTTGTTTGCGAAACGTTCAATGCTAAATATTTCATGCATATTCTGGAAGATCAATTTGTATGCCATATACCGTAATTAAAATATTTATCAACTTCCCAATTTGAGAGTACAGTACATCATCGTAAAACAAAGGTAGTTTTAACTTTACTACGGACCATATTGACCATAAATATGCCTAGGATTTAGGCTTCCTTAAAGCATTTTAACTTTATTACAGTTAACAGTGTTTTAATAAATTTTAGTTGAACTTCTGCTGGCTAAAGATTTCAGTGTGACATATAAAGATATAATATCCGTAACGTTAAGTTTAAAAGAAATGTATAATTAAAGTACATGTATCTCTAAATTGTTAATCATTGACTGTGTACGTTTCTTATTTTCTAATATATTTCTGGATATCTAACGTCCAATCGTTTGGTTGTTATGTTTTTGCAATAATCATGAATGGTGTATAAAATAACATACCTTCACATGTGCCATTCCTCTCCTCGTGATTATTACAACAAAACCATGACCCAGTTACACCATTTCTGTACAAATGCACGATGTTATAATTAGAACAAATTAAACTGGTAATCATGAGTTAACTAAACAAAATTGCCGAATGCTATATACTAAGTAATTAATCATTAGAAAAAAAAAGAGTGTTTTTCTTGTCATGTATTTCATGTATTTTCATCGCTGACTTGAGCTCACGAAATCAACTTGTTGTAGCACATTCTATATGTCGTGCTCATTCAACATGCAAATATATATGTCAGTGATTTACTTTAAAGGTTTGATTTTTTTTTTTTTAAGAAAATCAAATATTGAACCCTCAAATATTAAAACATCAGTTTGATTAAATCTTCAATACAAAAACAATGATCAAGATTAGGTGAATTTTACGACCTAAAATAACGCAAAATTCTGATTTATATTCGAATATTCCATTTTCTTTTTTATACGAAAATTTAAGATTACCTTGAATTAGTATAACATATTTCACTTTGAACAAAGTTTATAATCCAAACACAAATATAAATCTTTATCATGATCTGCATTTCATGATAAAATGTTATTATAAATGGACATAACTTCCGTGATATTACAAGTATAAGATGATGGGAAATTGTACAAACTCTCTTTCCGGTAATGAAAGTACCAAAACAAGTAACTTAATCGCCATTAAATATGAATGGAATTGGAAGGGATGCGAGCTAAACAATATTCTTACAAGTTATCTCATACCATCTGGAATATAATAATAATTATTGTAAAGTATCTTTGGGGTTTTATCCATTAAAGAAAGTTTTTAAAAATTGTCCTGAGTGATATATAGTTGTTTACGTTAAATTTTATTGGAACTTGTCTAGATTCGGGTTCGTATGGTATAACTCCTCTTTTGTTTCAACCAGTAAGTTAGAATGCCGCTCTATATATCTTTACTCGTGTTCTAGTATTTTTAGACAAAGTTTTATTTGCATATATCCCTTACCTTTTTTAGTCATATCCATTTCATAACAAATATAATTTTGCCTGGTGGGTCTTTTTTACTTTTTGAGTTATAAGGCCTTATCATGTTAGAAAAATATTTATAACCCTATTCTGATTTGGTATAAATCTTGTCTTACTCGTCCATAGTTACAGCAATTTAGTTCTTGACATATGTTGAAATAAGGAGACCGTAATTTATCTAGTTTTAAATCTCTTAATCAATTTGGAAGACCAATAAAAGGTAAAATCAAAAACTGGGAAAATCGCATAAATCTTTAACGGGTTGAGAACAGTAGCTTCGACAGAATAAGCTTCTCTTGCTATGCATGTATCACCCGAATGGGAATCCACATTCAGTTAAAATGTCACAACCAGGAATAAAGCACACATTCTGTACCAAGTCAGGAATATGACAGTTGTTATCCATTCGTTTGATGTGTTTTAGCTTTTAATTTTGCCATTTGCTTAGAATCTTTCCGTTTAGAATTTTCCTCGGAATTCGGTATTTTTGTTATTTTACTTTAAACTACTGATTTGACGGACTTTTCTGGTATCTGAAGATCGAAAACCGCAAAAACATAAGTGTGCTGATACAGTCATATCATATCGGTCAATTAATGTGTGATGGTGGCCTTCATATTTTTCACAACTCTGTCAAAGCGGGCTTTTTTTTTACATTATAAAAAAAGATAAACAGATAATCTATATCATCACACTTAAACGGGTAAATACAATTTTTTTACTGTTATGGGATATGGGTATTGTTGTGTAAGAGTGGACGACGAATATGTTCCAATTGTCGTACTACAATACCGTCTTCTTTTCCTCGGTGTTGACCCGCCATTCAAGTCCACTCAGTCAAAACGTCACAATCTGGAATGGGACACAATTGGTTAAACAGATAAGACGACTCTTCTGGTATCTAGAGATCAAATATTGCAAAAACATGTCGCTAGTAAGAAGAGACACATATGTATCGTATCAGTCAATCAAATCGTGATGGTGACCGTTAGAATTATTTAGTGTCAATTTTTGTCAGTCGTTACTCCTCTATAACTCTTTTGGAGCAATTTCGAAATCATTGCAGATCTTCACAAAGTAAGACTATTCATGATTTTCCCTAACACAAGCAATTGTATTTACGATTAACACTTATATAGAAATAGCTCTGTTTAATGAGGCGATTTATTCAATATTTTAATTGATCATGGGAAATATTATTGTTAAGCGAAGAACAATCAAAAGTTTTGATATTACTGCAAAATTTGTAAATAAATTTCTATTGAACTTATTGCAGTCAATGATTATAGTTTTTAGTAATCAACAGATGTTTGACACTGATGGTTGAATAAACCTAATCAAAATATTTCTTAATGTCATCCTTTACTATAGAAAGAATGGTTGTAAGAACTTTGAAAATATGTTTAGTCGAATGCATTTTGACGACTCGGTTATATATCTTTCTTAATGGTGTGTGTGCAGTTTAGGTATCCAGTATAATGACGAAAGATTGGCATCGTCCTTTTTAAGTTAATATCGAATGAGAGAAGGACGAATTTGTGATTTTTTAAAACCTCATCTTTCCTGAATGATGTTGGGGTATATGTGGGATTCCCAGTTTGTGAAATCCGAGTGAGTTCTTTAGTTAAACATTACAATTCTTCAGTTGTATTAGTAGTCACAAGTATCTGAGCAGAACGTTGATGAACCAGGGTTATGTCAAAGAACGTCTTTGGAATATACCATGATCTTGTTGATAAATACTCCGTATCAACTTCACAAATAATACATGAATATAAATAAGAAGATGTGGTATGAGTGCCAATGAGACAACTCTTCATCCAAGTAATAATGTATAAAAAGTTAACAATTATAGGTCAAAGTACGGCCTTCAACACGGAGCCTTGGCTCACACCGAACAGCAAGCTATAAAGGGCCCCAACAATGACTAGTGTAAAACAATTCAAACAGGAAAACCAACGGTCTAATCTATATAATCAAAGCCTTAAAGGCTGTAAAAGCAATTGCTGCAATGTTAATGTTTTGGGGACTTTTATTTTTCATCCACATATATATAGGAATTAAACCTGACAGGAGTGTTTTCTAGTGAGAAGTAAGAAGGTTTTAACTTTATATCAATAAAAGACTTTAGCAGAAAGTCATTTTTAATATGTTTTATATTTCACAAGGAGACAACACGTTTACCAGGCAAACGGTTGGGGTCGAAATTTACATGTGCTGAAACATATAACTCAAAAAGAAATTATCCCTTGGTAGTGTTTGTAACTGGGCAATAATTTCCTTAATTGATTTAATTTTAACAATTATCATAATTAATTTAAATTTAACCATTCAATTAAAACATTTCAACTTTCCAGACGCAAATGTTGAAAAACGGGAAAGAAATAAAATATCTTACAAGACATAAACATGTAAAAAATAAATATATATTTCAGCTTACTAAAAATATTTTCATAATGTTACTTTGTCTTCATTTCTTAAAACTAAGTCCCAAACATTATTGCTCAGTTGATATGTGTCATCCTCATGCGGTACGAGATAACTATAATTCTCATGCAAACGACAACCACTGGACAACAGGCTCCTGACTTAGGACAGCTGCATAAAATGCAGCGGGTTTAAACGTTTTAAAAGGCGCCAACCTTCACCCTAACCTGAGACAGTAGTGTAACATTACAACATAAAAAACACACTATAAAATATCAATTGAAATGGCATAACTTGATCAAAAAGACATTAAAACAAAAACAAGTAAACATGAAATATAGATTCTAGGTACTGACGTTGTTTATCATCTTAATTACGTGTTATAATGTTCTTTTTATTTTCTTTGTACATTTTTAATCTTTACTATTATGTCCAATTTTGGTAATATACTTTTTTTTTATAACGAATTTGCTTTATTGTAACAAATAGACTAGTACAACATTGAACAAAGGTATACAGAATGGCATATTCACAGCAAGGAAGTTTTAAATCGAAAACAACAATTGAATATATAATGGTGTAACATTAGGTAAAGCATAAATTATCTAATAACAATGGAATCTTAATTCGTTCTTGGAATACTTTTTTGTGGTGTTTAAATCAAAATTACTAAACCAAAAACCGACATTTATCAATAAGTCTATAGTAGGGACCCAGGGACTCCAGTATTTGTTATATTCCTCTTCAGATGGGTTTTTAAATGAAATATATTTCTCTGACTTCATGTGTTCCTTTAAATATTTTTTTAAAGCATTTTAATTTGGCAATACGTCTTGTAATTTTGCTCGGTAAATAAAGTATTTTGTAAGCAAAATAATCTTATTTTTAACAAAATTAAATTTAATATTTTCAAAGTTACCAAATAGAATAATTTTGATATTCAAAGGCAGTTCAATATTTGTCATTTCAAAAATCCAGTTGTTTAGTGCATGCCAGAGACTGGAGACCATATGACAGCTCCAACATAGATATTTTATGGTCTCTGGTTCTTCTTTGCAGAATTAACATATATTTCTACTGTTTATTTTCATCTTGTGAAGTAGTGTATTTGTTTCCAGAATTCTATGGATAACTCTATATTGGAACCAGCAAAGCTTAGTGCTTCTAGTATATTTAGTACACGGAGTGTGATTTTTTTCCAGTTAATACCATTCATATTAAGATGGTTTTCCCATTTTTTTCTTTGCAGCAAAAGTAATATATTTCTCATTCAACACTCTGTACATGTCCTTTGAACCTTTCTTTGATTCAAAGAAAATACGTTTATTGAAAGGTAGCATTGTTTGAATTTTGTTCACCTTTACATTAATATTGATCATGTTTAACCTTTCTTTAAGCGAGTGTGATCATCCATAATAATGTAAAAAAAATGGTCTAAATTGATATAATTGTTGGAAATTTTGAAATGACATAATTTTGCCCTGATTATCTAACAAGTCATGCACTGTCCAAATTCCAGCTTTATCCCAGTTTTTATAGTAAACACTTGAACCACCAATCTTAATGTTTTCTCCCTCGCATCAAAGATAAGATAGAACTTCATCAATACATCTTGGTTTTCTAATTTGATTAAGGGTTTTCCAAGCATCAAAAACCTCTTGTCAAAATTTATTTGATGACCTTTTTATGGGCCCAATATAACTTAGTTCCATAAACTTATTTGTTCTACAATAGAGACTAATCTCACGCACTTTGAATTTGAGTTATACAGCCTTCTTATCCATGTCAGCTTCAATCCCTGTCTAAATGCTTTTAAATTTAGCATTTTTAAACCACCAATATAATAATCTTGACATAAAAGATCTCACTTGACCTTATCTGGTTTATTATCCCAGATAAATGCATACATTTTATTTGTTAAATTACGTAACATATTCTCAACTGGACTAGGGATAGATAGAAACAGATGATTTAATTTAGATATGACCAAAGTTTTCAAAATGGTAATCTTTCCAAAGGAGGTGAGATACTGTTTTGACCTGACACTGGCCTATAATTTAAATAAATCATTCTATCTAGATCAAATGAAAAAGTAATTCCAAGGAGCTTAAATGTGGTGCTGAAGCCCCATTTCAATCCCCACTTAACACAAATTTTATCTTGGCTATGTCTTTTGCTACCTATCCAAATAACATTTGTTTTTTTCTATATTAATCTTAAGTCCCGAGATTTCAGCATAAAATTGGAGAACGCGAAGAGATGCATCGAGTGATTCTGGCGAGCCATCTGATATCAATGATGTATCATCCGCATATTGAAAAAGTACATATTCTGTATCATCTATAGTAAAAACCTTTATCTCCCTACTATTTCTCACTTAAATGCCTAATATTTCTGCACATAGCAAGAAAATATAAGGCAAAAAGTTTTGTGTCACTGCAGATGTTATATTATTATAGAAAGTTTTAACCTAGGATATATGTCACCGTACTTACCTGCGAAACTAGCGGAATTTTACAGGATACATCAAGAAGAGATTGGACTCCTAATGTAACTATGTAATAAGTATATTTGGTAAATAGAATATAGAACTTTGAATAAAAAACCAAATTATGGTCCTTCAGGGGGATCCGTATTATTGCTCATGGCATGTACACGTTAAGTGATAAGCCACATTTGCTCATATTTTACTCGAGGACGAAATCAAAGTTTATTCAAAAATTTTTTGTGATCAAGCTTAATTACCCTAAGTCTCCCATTTAAAGGGAGAAGCTGTTAGTGGCATAGTTATTTCTGTTAACTAATTTTAGGTACTATTATTTTGTACAATGATTTTAAACAGTAATAATATCTTACATAAATCTTCTTTTTCTTGGGGGTAAACTTTTTCCTGATATATGTGACCATTGTATCTAAGTAAACTAGCAATGTGTAGTATTTGACTTAGCATTTGGAAACAGACGTTTTGCACAAATTGGGGTCTTTTAGTAACTTTGACCTAAACCTTTTCAGAATGACCTTACAATCAATAGAGGACTTTCTACTTACTGTATGTGACAATATATCCAGGTCAGATCTTATATGTAATACTTGATTTATCATATGTAAAACATATGTCTGCAGAAATTTTGGTCTGAAACGACACTACATAAGGTTGACGGCCACCATCACGAATTGGTTAACCGATATTATATTTATCAATATGCTTTTGCCGGACATGGTTTTGTGGCTTTAGATCGTTAGATACCAGTATAATCGTCTGGTCTGTAATTTTAGATCTTACCAATGGTGACATGTTGACTGAGCGCGAATAGCATGAGAGGCTTACCCTGTCGACGCACAGGTTTCGCTCTTCTGGGAGTCCATGTGATTTCCTCAATTTTGTTTGACAGCTTGATATTTCTCTTCTTTATCGATGTTCGAGATTTGAACATTGGTAAACTACTGTCGCTTTTATCTAATAAGTATGACCCCTTGACATTTGACATTGTGACCTCGAAATCAATATTGATCATCCTCTCATTATATGTGAACATATATCCCATTAGGATGCAATCCAATAAAGAGTATTAAAGTTAATATCTGGAAATTGAAACTAACAGACGGGCGGACGGGTAAACACATATTTATTTATTTCACGAATGACATTGGACACGATGGCCAAAAGTGTTTGCCCAAGAGAGATTTTAATATAATAGTCAAGTTTTTTTTTATCATGTTCTGTTTAATGTAGTCACAATCCCTATGGTATACTTGGTTATAAAAATACGGTAATTTCTGGACAGCTCACATTCCGGCAGTAAAATCCATTCTAAAGTGGGATGTCTTTTTGGCTGTGCGGGATATACAAATTTGCAGTCACGTCTGGTCGGAATGTGGACGTTGAATCCGATGCCTCGTGAAGGCGGAGTATCACGCTCTCTGCACGTTAAAGAACACTTAAAACAACTTTCTGAGGGGTTCGTTAGTGACCTGTTGGAAGGCGGAAGGCAAAAGTTCTGCTCCATCCAACATACCTTTTATTTTCCAGTCGTAATCCAAATTTTGCACCCTTCATTTGATCATCCCACCTTGCAGAACCTACCCATTATTGGTAATTTGTAATTATCCCGAATATGCATCAATAATTGCCACTGAACTTAAAGCAAGCTACAATCAATCAAATAATGATTTTTCTAATTTTATTCACCCTGGACGATTTAAAGCCTGACTTATTGTGCAGAAACTTGTCGAAGACTATATGTAGACCTCAAGATGTCTATAAGTTATTTTTGTCGTTTTGTCGCTGTTTTGTTGACGTATATTTCATTTAATTTATATTTTCAATTGCTATAACATTTTGTGCATAATAAAGGACAATCAATGGAAACCCCATCAAATAAAAAATGAAAACAACACGTTTAATATTTTCATGCGTCCGAAGCGCATTTCTGGATTTACCTTCATCAGGAACGCTCAAAGCCGAATATTTGAAAGCCGAGGATGTATAAAAACCCAAAAAGTTGAAGAGCTATGTGACAAAAAATACCTAAAAAATAGCCAAATCCATCTAAGGTCAACTTTGCCTGAGGGTGTTGAAACCTTAGTTTCTTTATAATTTCAAAATTTATAAACGGACAATTTTAAAAGTTATTGTATTTTATGGAAATTAATTTACTCGAATGTATACAATTTATTCTACAAGTAATAATATGATTAAGAAATACAAAAAAACAAAACCAATGATATTAATAAATATATAAATATATATGTAGGACTCTGAACCGCGATGGTACTCCGAACCGTGATGGTAACACTGATGTGCGATGATTTGACGCTGAAGTGCGATTTTGATCACGCTGAACTGCGAGATTGTGGGATTGTGACGCTATCTTGTTGATAGCTACGCCGAAGTGCGATTCTGGTTACGCTGAAGTGCGATGGATTACATAAACTATAAGTTCAACGTTTTCATGTTTACATTTATAAAATGTAGAAGTCAATTTGTTTGTTCGAAGTTCTTTTTAAGTTTTTTTTTTTAAAGTAAAACATCCAGAGTATATATAAATAAGAAGATGTGGTATGAGTGGCAATGAGACAACTCTCCATCCAAGTCACAATGTATAAAAAGTTTACAATTATAGGTCAAAGTAAGGCCTTCAACACGGAACCTTGGCTCACACAGAACAGCAAGCTATAAAGGGCCCCAAAATGACTAGTGTAAAACAATTCAAACAGGAAAACCAACGGTATAATCTATATAAAAAACAAGAACCGAGAAACACTTATGAACCACACCAACAAACGACAACCACTGAACAACAGGCTCCTATTAATTAAAAAAAGTCATGATAAATGGTCATTGCATTTCCAGTCGTTACTGTAACGTTGTAGTTTACTGATGTGCGATGGTGGTTACGCTGATGTGCGATGGATTACATAAACTATAAGTTCAATGCTTATATATGTTTTCATGTTCACATGTCAACTGCATATCCAGTCGTAACTGTAACTTTCTATTGTACTTTGTAAATAGTTTAAGGCAAAAAAGCAGTAACTCATACAATCGTCCAGATATTGACCACTATAGACGCTAGATAAAAGATTATTTTTTTCTTTTAAAATCACTACTAATTGCAATGACTGAAAAACGTGGTAGTTGTTTGGAATGCAAATACTACTTGATAAGTCAGAACTTAACAAAATACGCGAAAAATGTAAACGGCTGCTGTAAATGAGAACAAGGAGCAAGATGGTTTTTACTGCAACTGGACAAAATATTGAATGTTTGGTATTTATATACTAACTAATAAAAATCAAACTCTCATATTAATTGGACATCTGTAGATTTTCAACTAGCCATCACGCTTCTTATATACCATCGCACATCAGCAACAGGACCATCGCACTTCGGCGCAGACCATCGCACTTCAACATGACCATCGCACCTCCGAGTCGTACATATATATACTTAGTCAACATGTATGCATGAAAGACTCTCTCTCTCTCTCTCTCTCTCTCTCTCTCTCTCTCTCTCTCTCTCATATCGTTTCTTATTTAAGGCTTTTTGTTTTCGAACATGGTTTGATGTATTGAGGATTTTGGCCATATAAAACTGCTCCCTTTACAACTGCTAAATCAACATCGCCTGGAGGATAAATTATTTGCACAGTCGGAAAAGCCTGTTTTAATGTGTCTCTGATGACATCAGAATTTGAAAATCCTCCAACTACAATAAATGTTTTAATTGCGTCCGTTTTAGCTTTTATCAGAACAAATTTGATATCTTGTACTATATCAGAAGCTACTTTTGAGATAAATGTAACAATTAATTCCTGATCAATCCTCAATCTGTCATTTACAAGAACTAACTTTTTATTATACTTCTTCGAAGTATTTAATATTTCTTGAAATTCCTTTCCGCAATGTTCTTTGCAAAGTTCATTCAGTAAATATAATGGAAATTTGCAAGAAAGTAGTCCTTTCTTTGATGTACATGCAGATAATAAATTGTTTATGCTTTCGATTTCATCCAATAATTCCAGAAAATTGCCTTTCTTTTCCAACGATTGTATCACTTTTTTCCCTACTAATTCCTCTAAACAGGACAACAATTGTTTGTCTACTGCTTTCCCACCATGACCACTTCCAGAAGGTTTACAAATTTCTTTCAAATTGCCATGTTTTGAAATTCTGTGGGCAGTTATGTCGTCTGTTCCTCCTACAAAAATCGTCTGACTATAGCAGATGTAAAAAATAATTCGCAATGTAATGCCCAGTACAAACAAAACATATAGTGTGTAATAAATTGAGGAAATGCTAATTAGTGTCACCACTTTAAGCTTATAAAGAAAGGTGCCCATATAATTGGTTTGTGAACGAATCTAATTAACAAATTGCTTTTTACTGGCATTGGAACGTTGCTGTGTTTGCCTAAAAAAAAAAAAAAACTTTAAACTTTCTAAGAATTAAAGCTTTTCTTTTGCCTTCTGCTCTTGCAAACAATTCTTTGTACAAAAGTAGGATCCGAAAATTCATGTTCTTATATATCACGTATTCCTTGTTAACAAAACATTTTAGTTCATTTATATCTTTTGGAGTTTAGTATGACGTCCATTTTCACTGAACTAGTACACATTTTTGTTTAGGGGCCAGCTGAAGCCCGCCTCCGGGTGCGGGATTTTCTTGCTGTGTTGAAGACCCATTGGTGACCTTCGGCTGTTTTCTGCTCTTTGGTCGGGTTGTTGTCTCTTTGACACATTCCCCATTTCCATTCTCAATTTTATTACATGTAATCGTAAAACAAAACTTAATAGATCAATTTTAACACAATTGGATGGCAAGCCTACAAGAAATCACCAAAAGCATTAAACTACTGTTTATATAAGGATAATTTGGAGTTTGAAAATATTTCAGTATTTCGGATAACATACTGATATCTTTATTTTTAAAAATTTCGAACTCTGAATATGAAATTACCAATTGAAACTGGCAGATAGCAAAATTTTGAAAGAGAAAAGAGAAAATGTGTATTGTGCAATTTAGATGCTTTTGGTGATGAATACCATTACATTTTTAATTGTTCAGCTTTTGATAACTGTTGAATACAATGTAACAGAGAAATCGCATTATAGGAATAGACCTAACACTATGAAGTTTCATGGTTTAATGAATTCCAAATCATGTTCAGAACTAAATAAGATGGATAAACTAATCAATGAGATCAACAACAAATTGAACTTTTCTGGGTGAATATGACTCTATCTAGTTTCGTACGTAGTCCTATAATATAAGACTTCGTAGGTTCATATCGTTTGCATTCAACGTTTTTTATCGGATATTATTTTATTAAAACGTTGAATGCAAACGATATGAACCTATGAAGTCTTATATTATAGGACTACTTTCGTACGTTGTTTATGTAATTGTATTGAAATACTTATAATTATCTCTATACCTTTGTAATTTGGTTTGTGAGAATAAAGAGGTATGTAGATTATAACGAAAGTGTGTTTAGTTACGTAGTTTTTAATTATATTGTCACATTCAGTGAACATGGACCTGTTAATTGGCTTAATTTTATTGGTTCATTGCGACATTAAGCTTTGTGGACCCTCTTTAAAATTTCTGCATACAATAAACATACGTACCTCCCAAGTCAATTACCAAATATTTTCTAGGAAACTCTGTAATTGTTGCGTCTAGCTTGTGATCTCTTAATAAATGATGAATATAAACTGATGCAGATTCAGATTCCACTACAATCATTAAGTTGTCATTTTGGTCATTGACGATTCCTGCCTGAAGACGTATAACTTGTTGAATTAAAAAAAAAGTTATCAGAAGTACTATTTATTATTAAAAAAAGTTAGAAAAAAACCAAGAGGGCAATCAAAAACATGACACCACTAACCAAAGTTAAGGGGATGGATGAGCGCTCGTAAACATGTTTAGCCCCGCCTTATTCTGTATGTACCTGTCCCAATTCAAGAGCATGTAATTTAGTGCTTGTCGTTGGTTGCTCCTTGTCATATTCGTTTTTCATTAAATGTTTTATCAGTAATAAGGCCATTGGTTTTCTCATTGGAATTGTTTTACATTTGGTCATTTCAGGGCTTTTTATGTATCAATATGGTATGGGCTTTCGTCATTGATGAGGGCCGTACGGTGCTGTGCATCTACGTCATTTGGTCGCTATATTGAATAGTTGTACTAGTTTCATTGGCAATAAAACCACATCTCCTTATTTGTAAATTGACGTTGGCTCCAGACGAAACCGTCATCAAAGTTTACACAGTAACCAAAGTAATATTAATACATGGCGACTTCATATTTTTAATTGCTATCTTCTTAGTATTGTTAGTTCTTTGTTTTTATATTTTTACGATATAGGCAATTTTAAAAAATTTAAATATTTTAGGTCATCGATGGTTTGATTTTTTATTATTGTGTTTTCATGACTTTTGTATGTGTGTATACATTTTGTTATTCAGTAGATTTGAAAAGCTCACTAGAGCTTGTGTTTATGTAGTTTATTGAATATCGACCTTAAATAAAACTTTGAATCTATCATGAACCAACCTGTATATTCAATGTTTGTCACGTTAACAAAAATGTCCATGCAAACTTTGATGGCACATAACATTGTACATTTTCAACATTGACTCAATCCAATTCTCGTTTTATTTGAACTCATTCTGACATTAAATATGAAAGCATCACCTCTAGTTAAAAAACTAAAAATGCTAGGTTTATAAAAAAAAATCCACGTGGACAGGTTATGCATTTACTTTAAAAGGGACCAAAATAAAGTGCACTCTCTTATTGGATGGAAGGATGAATAGGGATTGTGACCTCCAATTTTCTGCAGTAAACTTTAGTGCAGAACGGAGAATGTTTAAATACATATATGTATTTCTTTGAACTGGAACGATATCGAAACAAAAAGGTGTTTACTCCGCTAATAATGTAGCCAACAATATTGTACTGTTGTTTGATGCTAGCTCTAAACCGAGATACTCAAAACTGAGATTACAAATTCAAGTACTTTCTTAGCTTCTTCATACAATGGAGAGATATTGTAGATGAATACATTTAAACAAAAATTGAACTGAAAGTTGCTACGGAATATCCGATTGTTGCAACTAAGCATTGGCTTCATAAATTTCAAAACAAACTACATGTGATATGATTGTCAATGAGACAACTCTCCACCAGACACCAAATGACGCAGAAGTAAGCAACTATAGGTCACCATACGGCTTTCACAAATGAGCAAAAGCCATACCGCATAGTAGGCCAAAAGCTCCATCTAGTTTTTCATCAACTACTTATACGCTCCTTTGATTAATGCTTACATCTGTTAAGAATCATTATCAAGTTGCGTGACAAAGCTTATAAAACTATTGCTGGATTGCAAAATTAGACATGTTAGAGGCAACAGTAGTTTACTGATGTTCAAATCTTATAAATACATTAAGAATATACAAACCAAGGTATTAAAAAACTAACGAAAATTCACGAACTCGTTGCATTGGCAAGGTACGCGTCTCCTGTAATGCATACATCACTCAGTCAAAATGTAAAAATCGGGAATGACACAATGAGGTTTTTTTTTCGGATCAAGTGACCATTCTGGTATTTAAAGATCAAAAACCGCGAAACATATCGCTAGTGAGATGAGACATATACACATCGTATCGGTCGTCCAAATCACGATATGAAGCTGACCCTCTTATTACGGTTGTACCATTCTTAATCTCAAGTTCACAGGGTAACTGAGATAGAAGCACGCACTGAATGCGATTTATTGAATGACAAGACATCCTTTATATATCTGAAAATGTAATTAAAACAAGACAAGATGATGTTTTGTCTTTGTGAAGGGTCTACTCACATTCTGCTTCATATGAGTACAGAAACACGTCGGTCAGTAGGGCGTTCAACTAGTACCCATTTGGATACCGACTAATAAAATATGTTGTCAATCAGAAAGACCAGTATTTTGATGATATCATCTTTGGATTATTTGTTGTTGGAATCAGTGTGGTTCTACACTAAGTAATATTTTGAATGACCTTGTAACACAATTTAGACATAAACAATATATTCTTACAAACTAATGTGTACTTCATTAATAGACCATACATTATATTATCATTATTATTTATTTATAAGTTTGTAAACTGACTCTAAGAAGCGTTTTGATTTTGCAGCTGTAACTAAGGACTAATTACCGTCATCTTAACTTATGATATTGATACAAGCATTTTTTTTCACAATGCTTTGGACCAATTGTCGTATGAGGAATTAAACAATCACAGAACTGACCATTGGCAAATATTAAAGTGCCTACTTATCCAATCGAACTGATACGTGTATCGTTCGGACAATTAATGACCATAACATATGTCCAGAACAATAAATATAAAACAGTATAAAAAGACAAGCAAAGAAAGAGAAAGTTCGGATTCTACCAGTCTCCTTGGAGGCGTGGGTAGAGGAAACAATTCCGTTCCAACAGAATCTGTTGGCTATAGACCACAACATTTACCCGTTTATTTTAATTTTACCGTTGACGTCTTTACCATCACAGACCAGTTTGACCATTGTGAACATTTGAATTTTTGGACATTCGAACAATTTTATTTTACGTAATAAATTATTATTTTTATTATTAATAATACGACTTCGTTTCAACCTTAAACATTTTATCTGCGATTTCCATTTTGGTACAATGAGCACTGTTTAATTATTGAGAATATGTTGTCAGTCTTTCAATCATGGCGTTGTCAGGTTTCTTCGACTCATGACTTTGATGCCCCTTTGGTATCTTCCAACTCTTTTGTTTTATTGAAAAATGAAAATAGTTGTGAAGAGCGTATAAATTAAAAGTTTTGGTAATACTGCAAAATTGTTATTATTGCTTAATATAAAATAAACAGATGTGGTATGATTGCCAATGAAACAACTATCTATCAGAGTCAAAATGAAGTAGATGTTAGCAATTATAGGTTACTGTATGGAATTCACCAATGAGCAAAACCCAATATATATGGTCAGTTAAGCCCATCTCTTACTGTACAAAGAATAGAAGTAAGAACTTAAGAACGATGTTAAGTGGAACATCTAAACAGCATCCTTCTTTCACGGTAGGGTTTTTGTGTCCACTTTTAAGAGGGAAGATTTTCGTCATCCTTCTCATGTAATTTTGATGATATTATCTCTTTGGAAGCCTTGAATAAAGTACGTTTATTTTTGGATCATTTGTCTCCAGTGACAGTAAGCTTAAGGCTCTGTCTATGACCTACTCCTTAATTTAATTCAATACTAATATTCGTATTTAATATTACATAAAAACTTACCCTTTCTGCGCATGTACGCATGAATGTTTCAGCTCTATCAGTCCATGCAGCTGGAATAGTTAATACCCACTGGACGTTGTAATTAACGGAATTTGTATTAAAATTTGGAATTTCGGATTCTATACGTTTCTTCAACATACTGATCATGTTTGAGAAAACTTGTATGGCAGGAACTGGATGTCCCTTTATGTCTTCTATCATCATTGTGTCGGAGATATTCTGCAACAAGTGGTACATTTTGTATGTGATCATCATAAGTGATAACCAAGACATTCAAGATAAAATAAGAATGAAGCTCTGCTAGGAGAGCTTTATTTTTTCCCCTTGAAAATCGACGGTAAATATCGTCTCACTCTTTTATTCATATCTACAATTCTATTGTATACTTTCATTTCGTTTTAATTTACAAAAGCACAACATTGAATTCTTACATTTATTTATCATCTAAATAAAAGAAAGAGGTATACTTTATTGACATTTTTCATTTGAAAGAAAAATTTCAATCACTTATCTTCAACAGAAATTGTCTAGTGATATGCAATTTGTAATCAAGTGTATGTCAGATAGCTGATCTTTTTCAAAATGTCGATTTCAAACTTTGATTGACCGTTATGGAATATTTGTTTAACATATGACGACGGATATGTTCCAATTGCCTTAACCACAATCGCGCCCTATTTTCCTCGAATGTGACCTACGGAATTAGACTTATCACCGGGTTTGAACTTATGAGCAACACGACGGGGTGTGGAACAGAATCTGCTTACCCTTCCGGATGACCTGATATCACCCCTGGTTTTTTGTGGGGTTTGTGTTGCTCAGTCTTCAATTTTCTATGTTGTATTTTGTAGACTGTTGTTTGTCGTTGGTCGATTTTCGTTTTTTTTTTGTCATGGCATTGTCAGTTCGTTTGCGACTTATCAGCTTGACTATCCCTTTGTATATTGCGCCTCTCTTCTTGCTAGCGAAAATAAATTTTCGGTAAAGCTATAAAACTATTGAAACGTTCGTAAGATTGGATTTATTATAATAATTGTGTATTTTCTTGTCTATCATAGTATAAAAACTTTTCATATCAATAATATATAATTTGTCATATTAACAATTTATGATGTCAGCTACTTTTTTCAAAATGTATTCGAACAATGTGTTCGGTCATGTACTCTTAATTTCATGATAAACGATGAGATATGAAGATTTCCTCTAGAACTGCAAATCAAGATGAAAATGTCCCCGGTTAGGGGGGATAATTACCTCGGCTCCATACAGTTTCATTTTGAACTTATCTACAAATAGATAATTGTCAGCTTCATTGTCGTAAACGTGATCACTGTATTCTTTTGGTGCATCATATCCAATGTTGATAGGTTCTAAAGTTTGTCTTTTTAATAAGATACATGTTGGTGTTTTAGGAGAACATAATCCTCGGTTTCCGGTATTCCACGCTTTATTTAACTGTATATCAGTAGAAGATGAAATACTGAATGCATACACCGATGATGTTGTACCAATGTCGATTGCTACTACTATGTTAACGTTACCAGTCAGAGAACGAAGAGTTTTTATGGACGATAAAACCGAGATACCTACAAAGTCAAATAAAAGACTGTTCAATTTCATCATTGATGTCACAACATCAGAAAATCAAAGTAGTGAAGAGTATCTTTATTTTTTTAAGTCATATAATATCTAAAATGTCTAATTGATCGCGAAAATTATTTATTGCAAAATTTATCTAATTTGAAAAAAATTCAAATGAAACAAGTCAACTCACCAGCTATGAATATAACGATCCCTCCAACAGCCAGACTTAAAACTACAGCAAAAAATAAATGCGTTCTTACTGGAATAAAATATCAAATGAATAATTAATAAAAGCATAAAAGTCCATAATAAACAATCATGTACTTATCTAATGCCGTTACAAATATACATTCATACAAGAATTTTTTTTTATCTTTTTTTTTTTCATATTTTGGTAGAAATTTTCTTACTGATAGTTATGTCTTTAAAATAAGCCCTTTTATATCAATACTCAGTCGGAAATCTTTGGAAACACATTATCTTCCTTTCCATTATTTAATATTTTTGCACAACCTTGGCGATGAAGTTATAATTTGCATAGAAAACATTGTGCAAAACGAAACAAAATAATTTACTTACAGTATAAACTAGATAATAGCAACGTCTTACATTACATTATTATTCAAGGTTGTTATATCCGGTTAAAATAGTTTTGCCTAATATTAGATTACGTGGTTGAAATCAATATGATAGGTAAAAACATAGTTCTCTTCTTTTTCGGTTGCGGTTTTTTTTCTTTTCTTTGGTTGCTAGTGTCACCAGTTTATACGACCCCTTCACATTTAATTATTTTGAAGAAGCGAAATGATTTGATAAGATTTCAACCCTTATTTTTCTAAATAATGGCCAATAAGTCAACAGCACCTATGGAAAAGTTGTTGTACCATTAAATATTGAGTGTACACCAAAAACACTTTCGGGTGCAGTTATGCAGTATACAATCGTTAAATTTGCTTTACCTGTAACAAGTTTGTTATGAAAACTTGATGGTTCTGTGTAATTATCTTTACTTTCTCTGTAAATAATTTTTTTATATTTTATAACAATATTCATAAAATTATATTTAAAGTAACTTGTCTAATGTTTATTCATGAACGAATTTTACTCCGTCAATAAACTTTGACTGTGAGGTCGTTGATATAATAATAATTATCTTAATAATTCTATGAGGACTCGTGCTACATCAATCTTCAAAGCAACAAACGCGTAGGTAAGCGCTTGTCCTACCCCCATGATAAATATGTTGCACAGACTATATGCACAGGTACATGAAATTGTGGCGAGGTTTTAAACCTAATTCTTTAAAAACTCAATCATCTACATGTCATCTAAAATATATATTGGGTTTCAAAATTCGGTGTCAATGCCTCATTCCTTTATCAAGCCGTGTATATAATGATATTTAAGAACAAGAAACGATATATTTGTTCGTATGAATCTTGACGTGGCTCGGTATTCATGCATCCAGCTTTCGGGGTTTTGGCTTTTGGCGTTCCTGATGCGGTTGGGTCCAGAGGTACGATTCGGACGCATGAGGTTTTTATGGTGTTGTTTTCATTTTGTATAACCATGTATTTATATTTTACTTAATTTGTACTTTATCGGGAAAGTGTATCTGTCATTATGTTTTACTATGCTGTATGTATTGTCAACTACAAAAACCTTATTTTTGTTGGCGTCTTTGTCAGATTTATTAGTATGTTTGTTTAAATTTTTTAGTCAGATGTGTTCTTTGTCTGTGATGTATATATGTATGTTTACACAGTTTTGGCTGCTGGATCCCAATTATTGTCACGTAAACCAATAATGTCTGTTGCTCACCCAATTTTGTCAATATAATGAACTTTAAACAACTGTCATACAAATGGGAGGTTTAGCTAGCTATAAAACCAGCATTTTCTTCGGACAATGCATGTACCAAGTCAGGAATATGACAGTTGTTTTCCATTCATATCGTTTGTTGATATAGTCCAGCGTTTGATTTTGTTGACTTTATGGACACACACCCTATCACCCCCCCCCCCCCTAAATCCACCCACCCACCACCACCCATCCCCGGGCCATGTGAGCTATTGCCATCACTTGGCGTCATTAGTCGCCGTCCATCGTCATCGTAAACTTTTCAAAGATCTTCTACGCTGAAACTGACTGCTTTTGATGGTATGCTGGTGGTATCTAATATAAATTGCGCGGGTTTTTTTTTTCGCCAGTCAACAAACATAAAAATAGTAAATACGGGTAAAATGCATTAAGTATCTTATATCTTGAAAACAATAAAACATATTGAAATCTGACAGGGCATAAATGCTCGAAATGTAAATATCTATATTATTTCGTATTTACGCCAAAAATCAGAATGATGAGTCCTTAATGAGTTATAGTCCTTAAATGACGGTTTTTGACTAATTTTCATTGTTTGCCTTTTAACTCAAAAACTATATTAGAAAGATAGAAAAGGATAAAGGCCAAAAATTATGACAATGTGACCGTAGGGGGTATTGCCCTTAAAAGAAGATTTTTTAACCAACTATCGAGTTGTTGCCTCTAATCTTGAAAAATTTAATTATAGATAGGAAACTTTTAACAGCAAAAATTATCAGTATGTAAGATTTTTAAGAATGTCATCATAACAGAAACCTTTGGCTGACCCCTTATAGTTGTGTGTTACTAACTTTTGAGTTTTTGCCTTTTATTTTAATTTTTGACAGGTTAACGATTCTGGTTCTTAGGAGCCTCACGTTTGAATTTATTTTGGAGTTCGATATTTTTGTTATCACTTTTTTCTGTAAAGAATTAGTTTATTGTTAAAGAATGTATGTCTACCCCAGGAGTTGTTGCATGTTTTAAGGGGATGTTAGGTTTCTGTCTCATTGACTGGTACCCTGCATGTTTCTCAATTCAAACTGCACGTACGTTTTGTTAAACTCGGATTGTTTTCTGTCCTTGGTCTTAGTATTTTCGTCAATTTTGAATTATTTTGTACACTTAAGCTTCTCTGTTTGTTGTTATGTCCTGTCTGATTTGGGAAGTCAACAAAATACGACGTGTAAGAGTATGTCAAGCTCTCTTGGCGCACATGAGCCCATGGAAAACTCGTACCGATGGACATAACTTAGACAAACGCAAGTTGTGCCCATTTTGATCATTTGAGGAGATCTTTTTTCAAAATAAGTAGTCAATATATTTGCAACTACTTAACAATATAAACGTTAATGTTATTAATTAGAGTGTAGTCTACCTTGTATTTTAGTATATTGGTTATTTTTTTTTTTATATTTTATTGTTAAAGGAACATACTAATCAGTAAAGAACAAAATGAGTAATATCTATTTACCTATTTAATAAGAACGGCGAGTGCGCTTCTCCTGTGGTACATACACGCACTGAAAGAACAGTGAAAAACATTACAGACATATAATATAAATATAAGGTAAGGTGTTTTTTTTTGCCAATGAGAAAACTATCTATCAGAGACCAAATGACGTGAACGTAAGCAGCTAAAGGTAACAGTACAGCCTTCAACAATGAGGAAAACCAATAATGCGTATCTAAACAAGTGTCTTCCTCTTAAAGACTTCATATATAATAACTGTTACATTGTGCTAAGACGTACATAGTATACAATATAAAACTGAAATTAATTTGTAAAAAGTATAAAGAGGAGTCTCAGCAATTAAGAGTACGTATATTTCTTGTATTTGCACAAAGAACGAATTGTATTTCATAGTACAGATTAACTGATATCTCGCGTTCTTGATGTCAAATTTGTATATAAACATGTATTAGGCTTCCTTTAAGGACTGCTACTAGAAAAAAAGTACTGTCGAATTTTTGTGTACAAGTCATGTGTTAACATCTCTTCCTGAGAAATACTATTGTGCTTTATTACGATTCTAACCATGATTATTATGTAATAGTGCTCGTTTATGTTTTTTCGTGAATCAAAATAAATATTCAAAAAATCTTTTACCTGATATATGGATATCTTTGTGTGGATCATAGTAACATGAGCAATCTTCTTCGACAGGGAGGCAATTACAGGGATCTCTCGGTTGGACAACAAAATGAAATCCGTTTTTGTGGTCACATTGGCATGACCTATCAGCTACTTTTGAAATATTAAGAGATAGAATTTGACCTTCGTCATTGCATTTTGATGTATGATATAAACAACGACTGCTTATGTTAGCCCACAGTGCAAAAGGTTGGTACGTATCCACAGAACACGGCTTGGTAGTACGCGCACCAGATATCACGTATTTTTCGCCTAAAATTATTTGGAAACATTGTTAAATACGTGAAGGCATAAGAAATACATTTATTTATATAAGATCGACATATTTTCAAATATGGAATAAAACTAAGACAATACAAAACCTTATACTAGTGTAAATTATTTCCATTGGTGATTTGCACTTCCAAATTGTGTATACGTGTCTACCGGTCACTTTTAATTTGAAGTACGACGTGATGTGAGTCGAAGTGTTCAACACTGCAGTTGACATAGTCATAATCATAAATTTCAGTTTAACAGAGGAAAGATTTCTCAAATAACAATAACACGGAAATCTCATCTCTCTCAGATGGGGTTTTTGGCCTTCCCCTAATCAGCTACATATACGGTGGTTAATACTTTTACAAGACCCACTCATTTCGTTGGTTTTGTGGTCCCCCGTTTTCGAAATATTGATCTACAACTGCCTTCAATCATTACCTGTCAGGGAGTCCACGAATTATACAAGAAATTGGAAATAACTTTTTTTTTAAATCATAGGAATGCGTTTTCTTTTATTTGTCATTAAATTTCAATACGATACCGAAAAAAATATTTTATTCAAATACCACAAAGCCGTTAAGGGATCATGATAATATTGCTTTACCTTAACTAGTGTTTTACAGAATTTTGACCTCATTGGTTACTTAAAGCTGCATGCTAATTAACTTGTTTTACCTCGAGAAGAATAATCTGCGATACGATCACAGGATTCAACACGTATAAATGCATTGACATCATACAAACAAGCATATCGGTCAGGTGTATGTTTGCTACAGAAACCTTTAGCTCTTAAGTTTCTCTCTGAAAAGTCTGGACATTTTATGTCATATAAATACACCAGACTACTGAATACCAATATCTGAAATTATACAATACAAAGTTATATGATTTGTACAATTTGTGAACAGATCTGATAGATATTCGTCCTTAAGTTTCCGAATTTCCGTGTTTCAATTACATGTGAATTAATTATACGACCATTTTTTAAATACAAATGCAATTTATCCACCTGAACTCATTACTACTAAATCAAACATTAAAGCTGACCTGATGTCTCGTTTAGACCTTGGTATTAGAATTTAACATGGTGATATCCATACAAAAAAATATAAGAGGAGAGTTTTTTTTTTTCCTTTCCTATAGTTTGTTTTCCTTTTCTTAATGGGGATGGCTTCTGATGATGGTTATAACTATAACCATAACTCACTCTCGTATTTTTGGGAAGTGTGAGTGTGCTTATAATTTTGAAAAAGGGAAGGGTTGAGACTGGAAAAAACACATTAACAAATTTACATTTTCATGTACCTGTTCCAAGTTAGGAACCTTGTCCATAATTGTTGTATGCCATATCTTAATAATGTTTTTGTTATTTGGAGAATTGGTTTTGGGGGCAGATCTTTTATCGTTATACAGCATTCAAATACTCAGGATGATTGCTTGACCCCTGTATATTGTTCAAGGCTGCATGCTGTGAAGAATGTGGATGGTAATTCATAATAAGCATTACCAAAATTAAAAATAACAAAAAAAACGAATACCTCATTATTTTGACCTAAGTGACCTTATCATTTTAAACACTGATTTACAATGTGTTTACTTATTGGAATTAAATGAAATGTATGCATGTTTGTTATGATAAATTGTAGACTGTGACATGAATACACTTTTCCTTCAATGTCTGTGTTATATGTTTGACAAATCATCAGCAAATTGAAATCCAAAAAATAAAGAGTTTAAACAAAACGAAAGTAGAATTTTATTTTTCCTCTATTTTCACATTAGTTAAAATGTTTCTTAAATACCTGATTAAAAATCAACCATATGGAATCAATAAACATCAGCATAATGAATTATGAACGTGATTCAGCGAGTACTTGAGTCCATGCACTTTCTTTAGAACAACATTACTTCATTTGCGTGTCTATTCATGATATATAAAATATTACGTATATCGGTAAGTAATCTGTCTCTACTGTCATCTACGGTAGTGATATGCTTAACTTACTTTCATATAAGGTAATGTAAATAATCTATTTATAGCACCATTTTACCTGTAGATATGTTTAAAGAGTGCACTACAATAAAACAAGTAATTAATACCAATTATAGAAAACTTTCCAAATATATAATCATAACAAACTATATATATAGTACCTTCGTTTAAACCTTGTGTCATGATTTCTATTCTTTTATATTTATTTTTCAAATCAAAATTGAATTTAAAATTTGTAAAAATCAAAACTCATTTTCTAAAGAATTTTCGTTACCAGGCAACATTTAATTTCATTGTACAAATAGCGTCATTTTTAACGTAGAATTCTGCAGACAGGATGTTTTCTTTCCTCCGGATACAATATAAAAAATGAGAACAAATACCAATTCGGCACTTAATGATACTTCAATGCTATAAATATTTCCTTGTATAATAGCAATGGCTGTTTTCAAAGCATGAGATTTTTCATTTTATTTTGGTGGATGTGTTTACATGTGAACGGTGACCAATGTCACAGGACAAGGTAAAGATGATTTACAAAAACGGCACTTCGTAGACAAGAATGTAAAAACAAAGATATTTCAAGGTGCAAACAGCTAATGTGGGAAATATTATGATTCACATGAACAGCAGTCCTGAATACGGGAAATTAAGCATATCCTGCTACGCATGCACCATACACGCTTGTCAGTTCAGATATCAGATATCAAGGTACAAACCAATATGAGACTGAGTAGAGATTGCATCACACGATCAAATGAAGAGACACCAGAATAAGCATCTCCTGCAGTGTTCTTGGTGAACAATGTATTACAATTCATGAATGTAATATTGTACATAAAATATAACAATGCACTATGATTGATTCGTTGTATTCATTTATCTGAGTGAATTGTCAACAGCCTTTATGTTTCTTAATATTGAAGTGAAAACACCAGTATGACGACCCCTTTGTATCGTCAGATTATCGCATGCCCAATACCTGGACAATTTTGGGATACATACCGTTGTTATAATGTGATGTCTCTGAGTTATTAATTCCTTCTATGAGCAAACTTGGCATTATCGTTACACAAAGTACTCATGCGTGAAAATATCATACACTAGTGGTGTTCTGTTAATTCAAGCAGACAAATTAAAACGAAAATGAAAGAGGTAGGACCGATTTCACCTGAATTTGTTTCAATGATGGGGTCGAAACCCAAAAGTTGTAAAAAATAACCTCATGGAATATGATCAATGAAGAGTCTAGTCTAACGTTTCCTTGACGTCTGGGGTCATTTTTTATGACTTTCTTGGGTCGTGGGACATTAAAGATTTAACAATAATTTTGCACGCATCCATAAAATTGAAATTGTATTCAGCCCTAGTTACTATTGTTGAAGACCGTTTAGACATTACAACAAATTTCACATGATTCTGCAAAATGCACATTGAAGAAAGTCCTTAACGACATGAATGGATCTAAAAGACAAAAAAATATTAATTTTTGTGTTGTTTGGAGATGTCCTTCCTATCAAATCATGCTTTATCACTTAAACTATTCTTTCAAAATTTACCCAGTGTGTACGCCATAATGTTTTTAGAAACTAAAAGTACATTAACGAAGCTATCATACTGTGAATTTTAATACTGCACGGGAAACTGTGTAGAAATTGGCCCTGTTTGAACAAACGTCATGATAAAAGTTCAATTGCCTGTAATCGTGCACACCTGTTTACTCCAATGCTACTCTTTGCTAGAAATAGTAAACAAACAAACCAGATAAAAAAAAACAAATTGTTTTAATTATTTTCTTCTTTCTTAACTTTTTCTACAAATTGCAATATAAAATTGTTTCGGGCACTTTCTAAAAAGAGGTGAAAGGACCAATTAAGACGTCTGGCAAGGAAAAACAGACAGTTAAAGATTTAGGCGAACAGAAAACCAAATCCACAAACCATCATACATAAAAACCAAATTGAACAACCCGAACTGTCTGTGAAGTCAGGTGATCCGAAAGGTAAGCATTTCCTGCTCAACTATTGGCACCCGCCGTGCTTCTTATCGCAAGTAAAATTTCGATGATAAGATGCATTCTGTGTGTCAAAATAAAACTTGAAAAAAGGCGAGATTTTGGCTAAGATTAGAGGAACATATCCGTAATGTATGAATGTCCTCGGTCCATATAAATAGAGCTTAGGTACATCTTTATGTATCTATAGTATTTAGCCTTTTAATTGGAGTTTAAATTTTGAGATAGATATAAAAAAGATGTGGTATGATTGCCAATGAGACAACTCTCCACAAGAGACCAAATGACACAGAAATTAACAATTATAGGTCACCGTACGGCCTTCAACAATGAGCAAAGCCCACACCGTACAGTCAACTATAAAAGGCCCCGAAATGACAATGTAAAACAATTCAAACGAGAAAACTAACGGCCTAATTTATGTACAAAAAATCAACGAAAAACAAATAGTTTTACTGTGCGTACTGTTGTACGTTTGTTTTTCTACATTGGCTAGAGGTATAGGGGGAGGGTTGAGATCTCAAAAAACATGTTTAACCCCGCCGCATTTTTGCGCCTGTCCCAAGTCAGGAGCCTCTGGCCTTTGTTAGTCTTGTATCATTTTTAATTTTAGTTTCTTGTGTATAATTTGGAGTTTAGTATGACGTCCATTATCACTGAACTAGTATACATATTTGTTTAGGGGCCAGCTGAAGGACACCTCCGGGTGCGGGAGTTTCTCGCTGCATTGAAGACCCATTGGTGGCCTTCGGCTGTTGTCTGCTCTATGGTCGGGTTGTTGTCTCTTTGACACATTCCACATTTCCATTCTCAATTTTATGTAACACATAATCAAACGACAACCACTGAATTACAGGCTCCTGACTTGGGACAGGCACATACATACAGAATGGGACAGTGGTGTAACAGTACAACATAAGAACGAACTATAAAAATCAGATGAAAGAGGCTTAACTCATCAGATGGATAAAAATACAAATACTACAAATACAAGTGGACGTGTTTTTCAAAGGGACTAATCATTATTATTGTATAGTCTTATAGTTTATTGGATAACCGATTTAGTTATTGATAAACTATACGGTATGGATTTTTTCATTGTTGAAGGCCATACGGTTGCCTATATTTGCTTACATCCACTTCATATGAATTTTGGTGGATAGTAATCTCATTGGCAATTATACCACATCTCCTGATTTTTATACAAAAAGGAACAATAATAGCATTGCCATTTCGCAAAGGATATACAGTTGTGCTCTGTACACAGAGTAACAAGATTGCATAGATAATCCGGAGCTTGTTTATATTGAATATTATAAAACATTTGTAATTTTCGTCTTCTCCTCTAGTCAGCTTAAGTTTCCCAGTCAACTTCTTCACACATACTTTCGGTTCGCGGAAATATAGTTAAACCAGTAACTAGTCTAGCAGCTTCCTATGGCAAACATTCCAGTTTATAAGCACATTCTTTCCCTTAATTATCCCAAAACTCAGTTGCATATTCAAAAATTAGTCTTATGAATACTATATATCGTCTATAAGTCGTTACTTGAGTTTTTTCGTTATGTTTTAATGTTTTATAACACTCGTAATCAAATTGTGAATATGGCTATTCGAGCGAGCATCAGACCAAAACTTTACCCAAAGGTGGCATTTTGTAACAGTGACTTCTTTAACATTTAAGCAGAATTTAAGACCTGGTGCGTCATTATTCAAAAAAAAACTCATTATTTCTGTCAAGCAAGTCGTGATGGCGCCCGTAAACGTTTCAAATTATATCATTTTCATATACTAATGTTTCTACAACGCTCACATAGAATTTACCATTTTATATTTTGTAATTGAGTGTTATCTTTGTGTATAATTAGAAATGGCAAAATGGAATGGTTTTGTTGTAACAATCACGAAGAAAAGAATGGCATCTGCACAGGTAAGAGACAATATTCAATCATGCAAGTATTTATATCTACTATGGAATTTGAATAAACTTAATTGCCTTAAGGAAATGAATTAATGGTGCTGATGATGTTGATTGATGATTATAATAATATCATGGACAAGGTAATGGAAGAAGAAAAAGAATAAAAAATACCGATCTTCACACTACAAAAGTCTAAAAGTCTGAAAAGACCAGTTTTTGTCTTGATTTGCATGAACTTTTACTCGACATTCTCCAAAAGTATGACTCGTGTCTTAATTTTTCTTGACAAATTCTCATTTATATTAAATTTGTATGAAATTTACTCGACATATTCTCGACATTCTGAATATGGTCTTAAAATTTCTTGACAAATTCTTGATATTTGAATACTGTCTTGATATTTCTCGACATATTCTCGACATTCTTATTTTTTCTCAGTATGGATTGACATATTCTGAACATTTTGAATTGTGTCTTAAATTTACTTGACAGTTAGGAGTTTTACAAATCATGACCAATATTCATGATATAACTTTAATCTTTATTTCTCTTTATATGATATACTGTTGTTCCAAGTTACACTTCTTACAACAAAAATAAAAGTTGGGCATGTAAAATAATTGAAAATTTGGGTATATAAATATTTTTACAAATGCCAATATGGCTATGAAATCTAAAGTATAAAATAATTCAAATGTGGGTGTGTTGATATAAAACAATTTGAATGTGGGTTTTTAAATAATTACAAATTTTGATTCCTAAATCTTATAAATTAAATGATTAAAACCAATCATACTGTAGACATATTTAATTCTACATTCATAATATTCAATGTTGATATGGTAAATAATTATTATACCAAAATGTGGTTTATATAAATAGCAAATTATGATGATATACAAATCATTCATTTAACAGAAGAAAAATTTGTGTAATGTCATCTGTTGGAATATATATATTAAGTATTACACATGGACAGGATATTCCCCATAAAATTAAGGTATTCCACACCCAAGAGTACACGCAACTGTCAAATAGAAATTACTGCTTTACCTGTAATCAGCCATACCACTTATCAGTTGACCGAACATGCCACTACAATTTAAAAAATTTGTTGATAGATGAAAATGAAAATCATCATTTTGATGAAAAAAAATTGAATTAAAAGGGATTTTTTTCATCAAAATTATGAAGTTAATTATTTTAACATAAAAACAAATTGAATAATTCCCAAAGATTAAAGGAAAATTATTATCTACTCCAGGAATAATAAAAAAAATGTATTTATAATGGGTCCCATCAATGATTTCTATAGAAATCATCGGTCTTATGAAATGGTTCACAAACAGACATGCATAATATAGATCTAAACATTTTTTTCTTTTCAGGAAGGAGTTATCACAAATATTTATTTTTGATAAAAAATTATAAAATTCAACACTCAAATTTGAATAAAAAATGTTTTTGGGTTGTTCTAAAAAATGAATAAGGTTTTTGAATAAAGATGGGAACAAATTCTTTGACCTAAACGAAAGCCTCCCCCCCCCCCCTCCTTTTTTATCCACATAAACCCAAAAGATGAATTGTGGGGTCCAAAAGAGACATGGTCACATTTTAAAACTGCCTATAAGACACCTATTTTAGTAAAGCAAATTTGACTGGCAGTTTTGCGAACTGCAAAAATCTAAATGCTGTTTGTTAGTAACTTTGACTTATATTCCAAGTGAAAACAATTAATTAAATGTTTAATAAAAATAAATCAAAATTAAACTACATGGGGAATTATTCAGGGTATTCCAACTTAGTTGCACCAAAAGGGTATCTTACTATACCAAATTGATCCTTGATTCTTCAAAGTTTAGTTTAGCCATAATAAAAAGGAGTAAATAACAGCAATAGAATGTCATAAACAGTGCAGAATAAGTCTGTTCATATTTCAGGCAAAATTTATACTGTTGAGATAGTGTCAAGACATATTTAAGACTGTCAAGAATGTGTCGAGACATATTCAGACATTATCTAGAATGTCAAGAATATGTCGAGACATATTCAGACATTATTAAGAATGTCAAGAATATGTCAAGACAGATCGAGACAAATTTAAGACAGTCAAGAATTGGTCGAGACTAATCCAGACTCTTATCAGATGATACAGGAAGTGTCGAGAAATTTTAAGACAATGTTCATACTGTCAAGACACTTGTCAAGAAAAATCAAGAACCTTCTTAGACAAATTCATACTATGTCAAGAATTTTTAAAAATTATTTAGACAAATTAAGAATGTCGAGTAAAAATTCATGCAAATTCAGCCAATAACTGGTCTTTTCAGACTTTTTGACTTTTGTAGTGTCACCAATTGATCATTTTAAGCGCCCCCCACTGTGAAGAATTGAACTATACGACATAATATATAATGTGAAATTTTAGCAAAAATCTGTACTTAGTTCTATATGACCTCTTTGTTAATCAACCATATCTTTTTAAGTCTGTTTTTTTTTATATTATACTTTATCCGTAACTAGAATGTGATGTTGGATACAAGGCTGTAGACGATTTACCTTGCAAACCTTGCTCACCTGGAACATGGGGGAGAAAATGCAGAGGAATCTGTTTAATTGACTGTACCTCTATTCAAAGGTTTGTTTATAAAACTATTTTCTTAATTGACTTTGCTTTTGTCAACATGTAAACACGTTTGACGATTTTTTTCTGACTAGTTCTTTTTCTTTAAGATGAACTGTTTTATGAATACACGTATTATGCTTACTAAAATATGTATCATGTTTTAGTTTATGTATGGTCAAATTTTCGTTTATGTATGTAAATCGTAAAATGTGCTGTAATAGTGAAATATCATTTAGTCGCTCAATATTCCTGTTAAATAAGGCACTACCTGCATCGGACAATGCCGTACGGAGAGCTACAACGCCCCATAAAAGCAATATGGAAAGACAAAATACGAATATGATTAACTTTAAGTAAAACAAAATAGGTTATAGAATTGAACTGATATCTTATTGTAACCGTACTGTAAATATTGTCGTGTTAGCGGAATCACAATTGAGTTCCCGCCAGGTTGAACAATTGTTAACATTAAAGCTTAAGGAAAGAGATTATTTAATTCACCCATATGATCAAAATCTAAAATATGTCAAAGTTGAATATTGAAGAGTCCATATGATATATTTCAAATATTCATCGATGGATTTCGCTAAACAATCGGTATTAATGGGTATTCGAAAGACAGAATGTGAAGCTTTAGTTCCAACATAACTTTGTTTTGGTAAAGGAAGTACTCCGTGGACATATTTTGTATAAATAATCAATATTTACCAACATCTGCAAAATTGCAGTTTACAGCTTTTTGTTATAGAGAACTTTTCATTAAAAGTAATTTAAAGTTTTAAGTATAGTGTATAGTATAGTTTAGTTGCACTTGTCAAGAGTTAATTGGACATGTATGAAATTTGTACATGTTCTATCAAATTTTATACATGTCCATTTAACTCTGGAAAAGTGCAACTAAACTTTACTATACACTATACTTCAAACTTTTAATTACTTTTAATGAAAAGTTCTCTATCCAAGCGTGTATAATTCTATGATCTGTGTAATTAGAAAAAATATTGTTGTAGTCTCGAAGTACAAACATAGAGCTTTTTTTCCATGAATTTAAGTAGAATTGAAACGATTTTTAAAAATGGGACTGGTACGAATAAATTTAGTGAAAATTATCGCTATACCTCTTTTAAACCTTAGACTGGAAAGTCATTGAAATGAAGAGTTATTTTATAGAGTAGGTGTTCATACTAACATTAACAGTACCAAATTAACTGCACTAGATGCGCAATATGACAATTAATGTCTCTTCGGTGACGCTCGACGTCAAAATATTTAAAATAAAACAATAGAACAATTGAAGAGCTAATAAAATCAAAAGGAACCAAAATAATAGCCAAACCCAGACAAGGAATAAAATCTAAGTATGAGAGGCAATAATCTAATGCCCTTCCCATTTCACGAATGTGACCTACCGAATTAGACTATTTACCGGATTTGTAATAACATAAGCAACACGACGGGTGCCACATGTGAAGCAGGATCTGCTTACCCTTCCGGAGCACCTGAGATCACCCCCAGGTTTTGGTGGGGTTCGTGTTGCTTAGTCTTAAGTTTTCTATGTTGTGTCATCTGTACTATTATTTGTCTGTTTGTCTTTTTATTTTTGGCCATTGCGTTGTCAGTTTGTTTTCGATCTATGAGTTTGACTGTCCCTCTGGTATCTTTCGTCCCTCTTTTAATGCATTTTTTAGCGTCTTTATCTATCAAAACACGCGTTTTAATCATAATTACATTTCTAAACTTAGTGTAACCATGTAGAAATAATTTGTAATGGTATGGAAAAAGAAGGGATATGGCGATAATGCTCACCATGCTTCAAAAACGTTCTCTTCAGAAATTCAACATTAAATCAAACGGTATGTTAATTGTCATAACCTAAGTTTGAATATGTTAAAGACTGTCCTTTCTATACTCATATAGGAACACGTGCAAGTAAAAAAATATAGCATTTACCCGTTTTAGCAAATACGTGGTTGTTTATGGGTATGACAAACTCTTCAGCTCAGCTATTAACTATTGTTATTTTCAAATTTATTTTTTCAGATGTGATCGTGTGGTGGGATGTGTAAACAGTACTGCGACAACAACGCAAGCGGAAGGTGAAAGAATCAGACACACTGCTATTTTGTGTAAAACTTGAATATGAATGACAGAGGACAGGTGGTATACGTCAGTGAGACAACAACACATAGACATAACCATCAGATATCTAATGCACACCGGGTATCCCTATCCGAAATCTGCAGAGGGATCCAAATTAAATCCCGAGGAGCAATTACACATTGTTTAATGCAATTCGAAAGTAAAATATGGATCCGATTGCCACAAAGGATAATGCTGATCTGGGTCCATATCATCAACTAACATGACCTCTATGGCTTAAAACAAAACATAAGGGTAATTGCAGGTCATTTTTAAAGGTCTTGGAAACCATGATAGATACAAAACATCTGACGAGAGATAATTGCTCAGAATGTAAAGATCTGACTATTCTCTATGTGCACATGCATGAATTATGTAGTTTAAGTTAAGAGTTACATGACGATTGTGGTCGGTAATGGATCTTTTTCTTGAACTTGAATATTATAATAGATAGAAAAAAACTATAAATTAATCGGCAAAATCAGTCAGCAATTTAAGATCTACAAAAATATCAATAATGACTGAAACTTGGCTCCTTGTGGGAATTATTTCTTTAAAATGAGGGATTTTTGGCTTTAATCTTGTAAGGTATAAAGGATGAACAGACACTGCAAACATATAATATATTATATTAGTGATTAGCAATAAAAACTCTACAAAATGGTACTATGGTGAAATTCTCAAAACAATCCTGATGCAAGTATCAAATGAAGCCTTTTTACTTTTTTTTTAATAAGTTCTTACCTCTCACATTGAACACTGAAAACAGTAAATGTTGCGGATAGGGTAGGCTCGGAAGAATTTGTAATTTAATTGAGAGTTAGAAGATTTGGTAAATAAATCTATATGGCATGTTTTTTTCCATATGAGCATGACGTTTAGATTATATCTTGAAGTGTGGTGAACTATTGTTGGCGCTTCTTTCACCAAATACATTTAATTGCTTTAAATAATGAATTCAAGAAAAGTTCTCGCTGAATGATAGTACTCAAAATCACAATCCTCCATAGATATTAAAATCTAGACATTGAATTATTGTATTAATATGTTTACTATCATGCACATATACATGTTAGGTTATTATTTTCCAGGAGTCACTGTTGACAGTTATAGTACAAAAGTTTATTTGTCTATCCAGAATAACACATCACAAGTGGGGAGCAAAGGCAGTTTTAATGGAGGTATTCATTCTCTGTAAGGTTGATCAAAGCAGTAGGTTCAATAGACATTTGATATTTACTAGGGATGTCAACTCGGTGAGGATTTACTAATCGAGTACTCGTTGGATTTACCGAGCGATACTCGAGTACTCGCTCGGAAAATCATCTTCAAAAATGAAAACACAAAATTATACCAATTTAACGTTGTCTCATGGACGCAAAACATTCAACATTATTACCTAGGTTAAGATAATAGTCCCAGGAATTTTATACCATAATTAATAGCTCATTTACTACATGTACTAATTATGCAAACTGGCAATAATCTAATCAATTAATTAATAAACATCTATATAAAATGACTTCTCAAACAACAGTATTTGGGAATCGTAAAGAAACATATTTAATGATCAACAAAGGGGTGATAATTAGAACTTACTGATGCCTTTAACTATTCTCGGAGAGTTGACATAGTGTGGAACGAATTTGTTCTTATTTAGAAATATTATCTTTTCAATATTTTCTGGGACTTCTCGACTTTGTTACGCATATAACAGTTCTGCTGATTAAAATGTATGCTCTGACGGCACAGCGGTGGTGGAATGAATAATACAGATTAGCTAAAAGTGTAAGCACTGAAAATGTGCTCTTGTTCATAACTTACATCTGTTCTAGGGAATTTTAAATGACAATTACACGCAAACATTCGAAACGTATTTTAATTTTGATTAATATTCAATTTCCCGGGATGCGATCTTAACAAAAACATTTTTCTTTAAGAAGACAACAACATTCTAACAGGAAAACGATTCGATACTCGGTACTACCGAGCGATACTCGGGTACTCGAGTACTCGTTGACATACCTAATATTTACTGTTCTGTGTGTTTTAATTCTAAGCAGTGCAGTTATATATGTCTCTGTTAGTCAGCAGTGTTGAACATTCAGTTTATTTATGAAGTCAGTACATAGAAAAAAAAGTCTACATAAGCTCTTGTTCAAACAGACATGTTCAGTACATGTTAAAAAATTCGTAAGGGTTCCGCGGAACCCAGTGTCTCGCCTACTTTTGCTGTTAGTCGCAGGCTCAACAAAAATGGGGAAAAAATATTAAAAATTTTCCTCTAGATACTGTCTTTTGATTGTAAGAAGTTCTGTTCAAGTTTGGTAAAAATCCAAGAAGGTTTATGAATCTAATAAATGTTTTAAAAACTTTAACTGCAGACCGTACGTAATGTTAACTGGAATAAAAATAAGTCCATTTATAAGTAATATACGGAAAAACTTCCTTCTAGATACTAGCTTTTGATCATAAACAAGCTTCTGTCCAAGTTTGGTACAAATCCAGGATAGTTTAAGAAAGTTATTAAAATTTTGAAAGCTTTAACCACAGAGTGAATGTAATGTTAACTGGCAGAAAAACTAAGTCCATTTATAAGTAAAATACGGATAAACAGGATTTTTTTTTAACAAAATTTACTTTTGAATACTATCTTATGATCACAAACAAGCTTCTGTCCAAGTGTGGTACAAATCCAGGATAGTTTAAGAAAGTTGTTAAAATTTGAAAAACTTTAACCACAGAGTGAATGTTATGTTAACTGGCAGAAAAACTAAGTCCATGTGTGAGTAAAAAACGGACAAACAGGGTTTTTTTTTACCAAATTTTCTTCTGAATACTATCTTTTGATTATAAACCAGCTTCTGTCCAAGTTTGGTACAAATCTAGAATAGTTTAAGAAAGTTATCAAAATTTGAAAAACTTTCACCACAGAGTGAATGTAATGTTAACTGGCAGAAAAACTAAGTCCATTTATGAGTAAAATACGGATAAACAGGATTTTTGTTTTTACAAAATTTACTTCTGGATACTATCTTATGATCATAAACAAGCTTCTGTCCAAGTTTGGTTGAAATGCAGGATAGTTTAAGAAAGTTATTAAAATTTCAAAAACTTTAACCACAGAGTGAATATTTGTGGACGCCGCCTACGACTACGACGACGACGACGACGCCGACGGAATGTAGGATCGCTATGTCTCGCTTTTGCGACAAAAGTCGCAGGCTCGACAAAAATCATAAAACTCTATAAAAAGACTTACACAAAGAGTCTCTGGTGCACATTAGACAAAAAAAGACATGAAAATTACAAGTCATATAAGTTTACATAAAGAGATGTAGCTATAGGAAGTTCGTGTGAAAGAGAGACTAACGATATGCTGATGTTGGATCGATGTGTAACTTCCAATGGCAATGAAGTGTTATTTGGCCTGTCTCGCTGGGCTCTACGGTTACCCAAGGGGAAAATACAAGCTATGCTTAGTGTTAGAGTGCCCTTACCTTCCTACTAGGTGTCAGTCCCAGCTAACCTCGTCAGGTCCCAGATATCAGGCGCCTTGCCTTGTTCGTTCCGCGGTCAGAGAGAGATGCCCTCGAAGTAGAGTCTGGAAGTACCCAACTGTTACCCTTGTGTCATGTGTCCCTTCGGATCCTTCGGTGCTGTACCAGTACCCTCGTGACAGGCTGGGGAAACCCCCTAGAACTACAGGGCAATTACACTACACCCCCCTCCATCTTAAAAAGGAGGAACTTTAGTTCCGACAAAAACGACTGTATTATCACAAAAACTCCCCAGGGGAAGACTGGCAGCGTCTTTTTCTAACTCAACCATGACACAGGGTATCTAAAATATCTACCCCCCTAAATCCTGGATAAAGGGAAAATTGGACAAACTTAATCTTTCCCTAAGAAAAAAAAATTATTACCCCTGTAAACTTAAACATACAAATAAAAATTCAGGACTGAACAGCTATCTAGCTATAGAGTATCCAAACTCCCAACAATTTACACACCAGAGTTGCCACAGGGTGCTAACCTAACCAGGTTCTTCAGGACAAATAACAGCCGAACTCCATGTCGACCATAGCCATATGCTATTCCAACTTATCAAGTCCTGGAAACATCTCACTACAAGACAATAAACGGCGTGCTCAACACGTCTCAAATCCCTGACTCCTGTGTAATGTTCACATGCATGTATATGTATCAACTGTTCAGACCTGAACTGACGGAAACATGATACTTCACAATATAAATGTACAATATAAAACAATCACAATGTCTAAATGACAAGTTCATTAATACCGCCCTGAATTTCCAAATGCAACTAACTAATAAAATAAAATTGAGAATGGAAATGGGGAATGTGTCAAAGAGACAACAACCCGACCATAGAACAGACAACAGCAGAAGGTCACTAACAGGTCTTCAATGCAGCGAGAAATTCCCGCACCCGGAGGCGTCCTTCAGCTGGCCCCTAAACAAATATATATACTAGTTCAGTGATAATGAACGCCATACTAAACTCCAAATTGTACACAAGAAACTAAAATTAAAAATAATACAAGACTAACAAAGGCTAGAGGCTCCTGACTTGGGACAGGCGCAAAAATGCGGCGGGGTTAAACATGTTTATGAGATCTCAACCCTCCCCCTATACCTCTAGCCAATGTAGAAAAGTAAACGCATAACAATACGCACATTAAAATTCAGTTCAAGAGAAGTCCGAGTCTGATGTATACCCTAATACATAATTTACAACCGGGAAGGATGTACATGACCATAAATAATTTGACTCTTGTTTAAAATCCCACCTATATAGTACCTATATATAAGGATACATTTAACTATTTTACTACTGTAATAGTTAGTATAACTACAATTTATATAATATCAGGATCATGACACCGCTCTTAATATCGGTTGCAACTATTTAACATATTTGTACACTTTACATGTGAGAGTGTGAAGTAAATAATTAATAAAAATCACATAAAATACAATAATGGTTCACACTCAACACAATACCAATGGTGGTAAATCCCAAGCTGGGAAAACTGTTCTGTTTTGACAATTTTATTACTGAAGGCGCCTCACCTCAATGTGAGGACGGTGACCTAACAGGTCAAAGCATACACTATCATCTAAGACTGTTCCTTCACAGATCAGTGACACATTCCCACTTTCAGGGAACCGTTCTGTAACCACATTGTACAGTTCTGCCATAGAACTAACCCTTGCGATACACTGCAAACCTTCATACTGTATAACTACAAGTATTGGAACTTGAGGGCTCTGGATTGGCTTGAGCTGCGAAGAAGAAGGCTCTACCTGGGATTTAACTAGTTGTGAAACTTGGCGTCCCAGGAGAATTGCGGTTTCATTCTCCGGAGTATAGTGTGCATCTGTGTCATTGTCAGCAATATTGGACTGCAATTTCCTCTTTTTGCTAGATGTGTCAGTGTTCGAACTTTCACTCTCATAGTGAATTTCTTCTATTTTGTCCATTACTATGGTACGTTCTTCTTGTTCAGACTGAACATTGTCTTCCTCCCCTTCTTTTTGAAGGATTGCTGACTCAACTTGAGTTTTATTAACAAACGCTGGCCAGAAACTGGCATTCATCTCAGCAAGTTCCTCAGGATCTGGAGGATTTCCAGGATTGTAGTTAAATCCCTCGGCTACCATATTTTGTTGTTCAGGGGTTAAAAAGTTAAGAAGTGAAGTTAGGACTCTCCAGTTGAGTAAACAAGCAGGGCTGTTTACTGGTCTCAAACTATATCTGAAATAATCTGTCCACCCCATCTCTTTACACACTGTACGATGAATTTGCATCTGTATCCCTGTAACATGCGTAGAACGTGGCACAAAAGACTTATCATTCAGGAAATTAACCAAATCTTTGGCAGTCACTGTTTCCTGCCCAGTTAACCATTTTGCTATGAGCATAACCACATAAGCTCTATGTTGGTGAAATCTACTGTCCTCCATGAGTCTTTTGGAATGATATGTCTGAAAGATTTCAGAAAGATGTTCTTCAAAACAATGTTTTTTTACGTCTCTTCTATCTACCACTACTGGGCAGTTCTTTACAGGATATCTACGGTCTGTAAGACTTTGAACACAAGTCTTCTCCCTTTCCCCACTTTTGGGACAAGTATAAAACCCAAGGTTTTCTCTCG